TAGATGGCGAGCATGTTGATATGCACACTATTGTCATCCTTTAAGTCTGCAATAAAAGTTGTGGATTTTCTATCGAAGACATAGGAGGCAACGGGAGGCAAAGTGAAGACAGAAAAGGCAGGATAGAATAGTATTATCCGATATTCCATCGATTATAACACTCTAAATTTGCTTTACCCCGGAAAATTTTCGCTCCCAGTTGGAAATTTCACTATGTCTTCCGCTACATCCAAGTTAATCATCCTAACAGTATGGCTAATAACTAAATAACCTGATATTGAGAATATGAAAGAAATTCGGTACAATGATGGTAATAATATACTATTCAAACACAAAGGTGGATATAGATCAAGGAATAGCACACATTTTTCATGAAAATATCTTACTTTTGTAAAATCTCTATTTACATTAAAGTTGGCAAATTTTGAATAAAAGCGAGTTTTTTGTTGAATTTTTATGTTAAATCTAAATAACAATAAAAATAACACCTACAGTATTTCTCCGAATGATTTTATTTTTCATGTTTGCTTTGATTTTGCTTCAGATGTTTGACCTTACAATACTACCTACATATGACTTAAAAGAATTGTAACTACAACTACGCTTAATTAAAGCCTTAAAATTTCTGGAAACGAATTTTAGAGCTCGAGCAAGCAATATTTTTGAGTTTCGCGTGCTCAGAATAAAAGCTCGAGCAGAATAATGGGGTTCAGGCCAACGCGTGGGTAGCTGTTGATGCAAAGAAGACCTTTTTAAGCGACAGAGTGCTTCTAACAAAACTGAGCCAGGTGTCTAGTCTCAGGATTCATGACCCAGTTCAAAATCCACCAAGAGAGTCAAATATTCTGTTGATAGCAACGCTGTGTTTATTTTTTCAAGGCCCTGTCCATCTCTCCGAATATCAATGTTCCACATGTTCCTTTTAAAGACAACAATATCTTAAACGTTTTAAAAGCAAATTATGTTTCATCTTTCAAGACACTAGATATTACGGATATGGGTTTGTGTGTTGGCTGCTCTTTGCAGCATATTTCATTAACACACATACGTAATCTCCAAAAAATTGTATTTAAGTGTAAGAAAATTACCTAGAATTCATGGTTTTGTTGTCTTACTTTAAACGAGTTAAAACTATTTTGGATGAATGTTAAAATTCTTCTTAATGTTCACGGATACAAATCATTAACATATTCGTAAAATTGAATTATTGCCGAAAGTTGAAAAAGTTACATACATTACCAAGTACTAGAAGTACCAAAAAATCCGTTGCCAAAAAGTTCGGTGGATTAATTTTGGGTGGAACAAATTTCGGTCATATTTTTGAAATTTCATTTTAAATTTCGGTGAGAACTTGGAAAATTCCAGTGGAAAAAAATCTCGTTGAGTTAAAAAAAGGCACTTTCTATCAGTTAATACCAACTTTACCATAAAATTACCTGAAATGCAATCTTAAAAATTACAAAAACCGAATACTATGATGTTAGCTTAATAAATATGTAGGAAAATTAATTGGTACCATTTACAATTAAAATTTATTTTAATCGCCAATCGTAACAAGGGGATTAACAGTTCTGATCGATTGTAAGTTTAAATGGAGGCGTCTTAATTGAAACTTCTGGAACGTTAGCAAGAAAATAATTGAGAAAAATTATAGCCATAAAAGCATCTGCTCAACCCATAAAGATTTCAAATTTCTTGAATGTGGAGGGCGAAAGAGAAGAAAGTGAAGATAAGCTGGATATCTTCTTTGTTGATGACGAAGAAGAACCAGAAATTGAAAATTGATATTTATTGGATGTCAAGTAATACTTAAGGAATATCATGGAAACTTTTAATTAAGATCTCGACATTATAATAAATATATGTACAAAAAGCAAGCTTGCATGAAAATATGAAGTTCTTTGCTCCTTTTTCAGAGCACCGTGACATATTGCTTTCCATCAAATAAAATTGTTATGAATCCTCGTTCATATTCACACAAAATTTCAATGTAATTAATATTTGAGCCTCTCAATATTCACGTTAAATAACAAAAGACAACAGTTTTTAGAAAACCGAAGGATTACGCTTTCTAGATCTATGGTATGCTTGTATGTGGCCAGCTGATTGGTTGATTTATAATTAACAACGACGGTCTTTGTGATCTTTCAGAGTCCTGTCGGATTCCGTTGATTGTCGAAAGATGCAAACGGCGTGCTGGATGCACTTTGTTTGTCGTTAAAAAATGTTTCATTTGCAATGTAGAAATGACTTGAAGCGAGCTGTTTTGCTTATCCTCTTGTAAAATGGTAAGTCTGAGATACCTTTCTTCAGTCATAAGCTTTTTGTTTGTTTCAGCGCCTTAAGAAATATAAAACAGAAGAACTTTTAATGTTTTAAATATATTCCTTTCCTTTTCATAGTATGGATTCATTCACTGTGCATTACACGATCTTGTTATCGGAAATTTTGGAGAAGAAACATGGAGACAGATTTTGTAAGTACATTAGTTTTAAGGTTGTCTAGAATGTCGTTTGTTTTGTTGCATCTGTCTGCTTCTAGTGTCTCAAAAAAGGCGATCAGGTTTTCCCTACCTGCTACAGTTTCACTTCGGTTTTAGTGCCCAGGTTGGACATCTTTGTTTTTTCATTGTTTACTGTTATCCTTGAGATTTCAAAAGCATCTGGGAACGCTTGTTACGGAAAAAGTTTTGAGAGTAATATCCATTGTTTTTTCCGCAACCCGTGGCTTTGTGTATATTTGATTGTATCTGCAAAAACCACTTCAGTGCTGAAAACGCTAGAATGGGAGTTGCCGAGAAAGCATTCGCTGGTTAATCCAGTGCTTTCCCTTGTTTTCTGAGATCAGTTTGAAATTCAGGTTATTTTAAATGCTTGTGTTTCTATTCGCATAAATTGACAGGTAAAAAAACAAGTGAAAACAAACGAATCGCAGTATTTCTTTGAAAAAATGTTGCTATTTTTTAACAATATACAATCAATAAAGTATTTTTAACATCACTTTTTTGTTTTTTATTTTCTTATTTCAACAGCCATAAATAACATCTGTTGCCACGTCGGTTAGTAAAGCATTGAGAAACCGTTTTTCTATTTGAATGTTTTCTTTGTCAGATCTAGAATGGCTAAACATAGAAAATATATGTTAAATTGCTATGCTGTGTACTGAATTTTATGACACTAGTATGATAGATCGTTTATGCTACTGTTATTAAATTTTATGAACAGTAGATGAAGCTTCTTTTAATGTCAAACAGCGCAATGGTCCAAACTGGGAATGGTTTTGCGCAAGAATCTGTAGTGGTGCTTTAGTCATAAAAGATAAATGAGCTTTGTAAAAGTTGAGATTTTATGCATCTGAAATCGGATTTGGGAGATTATCTTCAGACAAAATTGTATTTTGTTAGATTTAGTACTTCTTTTAAGATGTCCTAGAGCGTTTTATCGCCTTAATGTATTTGTTTTACTTTTCAACATTTTAAGCAAATTTATGCCTTCATATTATCAAATTTATCACTTGGAAATTCTAAATTTGAAATTCAATGCATCTTTGAAATACACTTGATTGGAATTCCGCAAATATTGATAAATATATCATAATGAGTATCTTTTAAATAGAGTTGGAATATCTGCATGACTTAAAATCTGAAAAGCATTTAGAGACACAATGGAGACGTCATTTACTCTAGAGTAAAAAGCAAAATTACGGACACTTTATGATGCTGACACCGTTTAACATGCGTTGTAAATATTCATTATTATGCCTTTTTCATTCAACAGCCACTCTGATAAAGTTTGAATGTTCTAGTTTCTTGAAAGAACGTCATATGATGACCTAAAAATATGGTGTTGATAAGCTTTGCTAAATTGATTACGAAGTTCTTTGCTTTTGTTCAAAATACTTCCTAAAATTTTGTGTTAATATGCTATTTTGAATAACTGTTATGTCCTAGTTTGTGAGATATCAAGGCTTATTCATCTGAATGAATTAACAATTACAGTCACCAACGATTCACTGAAATTTTCCCAATCGCAGATGCCATTGATAGGCTATAATGACGTCACAGAATCTCGGTAGAATACGATAACAAATGACCTAGTCCCAATTTTATCGCTATAACAGAGGATGAGCATTTTGCATGAAATTGTCAATATCTAAATGAGCGCATAACGTCTGACAATGCATTTAAGGATATGCGTAAGCTTGTTTTGTAAATTTGAATAAATTATGCAAATACATCAAGTTCATTTAAGACAACATAATCCACCGAAGCTCTCCATTTTCTCAGAATCATCAACCTCAAATCATGCGGTTTTGTACTATGACTGCGTAGACATATATATATATATATGCTCTATCAAGCTCTTCCTTGCATTAAATTTCTCTCAATGCCATTCCTTAATAGTTTCAATCGTAATAATTCTAATAATTAACTTTCAAATGAGCTCCACCCAATTCTCTGTTGAAATCTACACGGAATAAAACAGGAAAATTAACGTTCTTGGTTGAATGCTTCGTTTTGCATTGACAATTCAAGGTAGCTTAATAATTTTTGAGAACCTAAATCTTCTGAAAAACCCTCGTTAGCAAGACGTAACATTATAGCTTAAATGTATTTTGCGCAAATGCAATTCGAAGCTCTTTTAATGTCAAGACCTACTGTACAGTTTTTATATAAGTATATGTATTAAAATCTTTATTTGAAATGATCGTTGCTTTTGATGCCGCAAACTGGAGTTGACAAAATGCATTGTTTACAATTTGGTATAATTCCTTCTGTCAGCCTTGTTGAAATAATTTACCCCCTGTCACCCTTAGCCTACTGTATAAGTATAAATGTATGATCATATGTTATATATTTATTTCGAAGGAGGTAGACAGCAATATGACAGTGTCGCCCACAGGGTAAATAGGCATCAGGAAGGGTACTGCTAAGTATTCTTAATCCTGTCAAAATGATGTATCCAAATATTTATTAGATAGCCAAACTTAGACAAAAATGCTTATTGAAAAGTCAAAATTAGACAAAAATGTTCATTGAAAAGTCAAAATTAGATAGAGATATTCACTAAGTAATAGAAGTCAGATAACAATTCATAAATATAGAGATAATTACGTACAAAACGCGATTCTATCTTACTTGGATTTCATAAAATTAGACTTTAACTCGATGTCAATCCCAGAATAGTATACCATTTTCATAGAATCTTACCCAAGGCGTGATTTGAATGGAGCAGTTGCCCCTCACAATATCAGCCTCTTTATTTTTTAATTTTACACCTATAAAACGATCAATATTTCGTTTCCCTGTCAGCTGACAAGTGTTAATCGCGTTTGAAATGAAAGTACATTGTTAAGACCCGGTAGACTTCTTGTACAAGAAGATCTGTAAGTGGTTTGTGTTCAAACATAGATTCAGCTGCAGGAGTAAAAGCTTTTTCGATCAATAGAAACAAACTAGAAAGTGCTTATGCTTTTCAAGATGAAAAACGCCAGCCAATTTGATTTTACAAAACATTTCGTGTCAAAAAATAGAAAAATGCCCTTCGGCGATAGTGGACTTGAAAAATTCTAAGAAGCTTACAGTTCTGTGAAATGATTGCTTGTAAAATGAAAGACGTTAATAGAAGAAATTATATTTAACAGATACTTGTTATTGATAGTGCTGGTTTTGATATCTTACTCTATAGTGAGAAAGCATTCTTTCATCTCACATTGAAGAGATTAGATTGAGAAATATATCTTTTTTCAAAATAAAAAAACCAAGCCGAATTTAAGCACTAACTTTAAGCACTGTTACGCGCGACTCAACGAATGCACAGTGGGGCATGCGCAAATTGAACTTCCTCATTCGCTGAGTAGTTCAACTCAGTTGAACTACTGGGCGACTGGTCGCGTTCGCCGATTCGCTGACTTGATTTCAATTCGATTTCGCCAAGTCGTGCGACCAGAGCGAATCAAGTGGAAACCGGCCTTACTGAAACCCTTCGATTTACCTCCCTATTTGCATCCCGATTTTCAGTGGAAAGACCTCTTTTGTCCGAAACAAGACTACCTTTGACAAGAGCAAATCTTGCCGAGGCGGATCAAGATTTTCAAGATCTTAGTTCCTCGTTTTATCTTGATGAGACATAATGTATTTTTAATTTGGTTTGCTTTTTCAAAACACTCAAACCAATTCGATTTGCAAGGCCCTACCCTGAAATTGGAAATGGTCCATTCAGTTATTTTCTTCTTAATATTTTAATATTAATGTCGGAATGCCTTGAAAAATTGAAGATTTTGATTAAAAGCATTCACGTGTGATTTATGTTTGTTTAATTAGATCCTTCAAGTTTTTCCAGATTGAGATACTTCGTATTTTTAGAAACATCAAATCAAGACTTACTTGACAGAATACTGAAGGAGCAGCGCACCTACATAGGTTAATTTCTAACATACGTATTTGCTGATTTCTATTGCCATGTGGTCTTCACGCACAAAAAAATTATGATTTTGTATGTTCCTTTGCAGAAAAGCAGCCGGCATTGAGCTTGAAGGTGGCCGATATCTAATTCACAATATTTATTCAGATGAAGAAACGCTGAAGCTCATTGAAGCCTCTTGTAATGTATTGGGTATGTCATTTTACCACCATATGATCTCATTAAGTTGTAACAAAGTTGCTAGAGAGCTAAGGGCTGTCCAGTTTTAGTGCCTGAATGTATGGGTCTATCAATTTCTATCCATCTGATTTCAACTTGAACTCTTGTTTAAGTATACCAATCAAGCAGTCATCAGAAAGTTGCCATTTGTTGAAGAAAAAGTTGTAACGGTGTTAAGAAGAGATTTCATATGCTGTTAGAAACGTACGCGGAAAAGTTACCATCGCTATGAAAATATTTCCTTTCAGTTCATTCACAGTCCGTGCATTATAGAAAGCTATTTGAAGACCAACTCTTTTTGGGATACCAGCAATTTCGTCCAAGATTACACTCATTTTGTTATAACTAACTGGCTATAAGAAACGAGTACTGGACAGTCAGAAAAAATTAAGAAACTTCAGTACTCGAAGCAAAAAAATTAAGAAACTATTAAATCGTGATAAAACTGAGAACAACGAAATTTTGTCAAATCCAATAACATGATTGCCCTGATGGCCTAGAAATTAAGACACAAGGGATAAAAATATACTTCCCACGTCTAAATACAGCGTTAGAACGGAAGCGAATCTTTTGACGTGAAAACAAGTTCACGAACATTTCATAACATCATTCGTGACATCATAATTAAGAAACTCTTAAGAAACAGGCCATTGATGATGATTCTAACCAGACAGCCCAAATACTAGCTGGTCTTCTCGACTGGTCACAGGCCACATTTGCTTCGAATTTAGAAGAAAGACAATGAACATTTTCAACACTAGGGGTGAAATATTGAAATTTCCAGAACATTAAGAAACTTGAGTACTCAACATCGACCTTTGTTTCTTATAAAAAAATGAGTGTAACTGTAAAATTCCCGAAATCGGTGGTACTTACATCTATTTGTAAATGCAAGTTTTTGCAAAACATTCACTATTCTTTCGAAAATTGACAGCAAAATGAAAGACAAACTGTCATTCTTTTGTTAATAAGGCAGAAACTGTCATTCAACCAACCCAAAACATTGATTAGAATCTCGCTGAAAATAGCATGCGGAATGCAGTGCTCTCCTTCCACCCCCTGCCTTTCTTCATCTTATAATCCAACGATTGAGGCTTTTTTCTATCCAAACAGGCTTTTATCAATTAAAGGATTTGATTTTACGCGCTGAATAGCCCAACTTGGTTCTTCAACATACCAATAGTTATAAACTATGGTGATTTAATTAATGGTGTTATGTTGTATTCATAACAATGTCATATAGACGAGACTGAAAACGTACTTTCGGTTTGCGTACCTCTAATCCATATTACCACATGGGTAAGCAACAAAGTTTAGTCTGGGGGGACTTATCTTCTCTATGTGAGACAAATTAAAAATGTTTTTTCAAATATCATTTGACGATTACTGTACAGAAATTCTTCATCATCCAAGAGTTAGATAACAGTTTTTGTTTAACTTGTACTTTCATTTACTTGTTTCTCAGAAAACGGGCATTTTTACATTGTAGTTTATTTTCTCAATGCCAATAAATTTTGGAATATTCTTCATCTAACTCGTTATATATTCCTTTTGCATTTATGTCTTGTCAAATGAAGACATGAAATTTCGCAAAAACAGGCTTCAAATAGATTCCTTTTGTTTATGGTTTTCAAAAAGATTGCGCTTAAAGCTATTACAAATAATGTATTTAATGGTAACTAATGCGTAAGTTGCGTATTTCTATTTCAAAATGACACCGTTCTCTTTCTTTTCCCAAGACCTTCCACTCGATGCAATTTTGGAGAAATTTGGGGAGCATTTCTTCAAATACTGCGTTCAATCTGGCTACGATAGAATATTGAGGGTTCTAGGCAGAAGTCTTCGAGAGTTCCTGTGCAATCTTGATGCTCTGCACGATCACTTGGCAACAATTTACCAAGGGATCAATGCTCCTTCGTTTAGAACGACAGATCGCAGCGACGGAGCACTTATTTTGCACTATTATTCAGCACGGGAAGGGCTAGATCACATCGTAATTGGCATTGTGAAGACTGTGGCAAAGGAAATCCTCAACACTAATGTTCAAGTTGATGTGCTTCAGAAGAAATCTGAAGGTCAAGACCATACTGTGCTTGTGATTAAAACTGAACAATTGTTAAGTCGCAAGCAGAGTCATTCCAGCATCAGCGTAGGGGCATTCAAACCAAGTACGTCTTGTCTCAAACTTGGCACCGCTGGACAATTGAATGAAAAACGTCTAAGAAGCAATACTGCCAAGTCTCTTATGAGCGTTGCTTCGTTTTGCAAGTGTTTTCCATTTCACATTGTTTTTGACAGATCCCTGGTGATAAAACAATATGGCGTTTGTTTAAGAAAATATTTTGACAGATTTTGCAAAAGCAAAGAAACTATATTTACAGATTTATTTCAGCTTTCTAGGCCTAGAATGCAGTTTTCCTTCGATACCGTACTTGCACATATAAATACTGTCTTTGTTGTTGTTTCCCGAAATAGCAGTGGGAAATTTAGGAAAATATCCCCAAACCAAACTAGGAGTTGCAGTGAAAATGCAGCGTCGGCTAGTGAAGCGACGCCGACACCGTCTGACGAACTTCGGCTCAAAGGACAGATGATTTACTCAGTGCAGTCTGACTGCATCGTGTTTCTGTGTTCGCCTCGTTTTGGAAGTCTTGAAGAACTAACTGGGGCCGGCATCCTCTTCTCCGATATCCCGGTACATGATGCGACTAGGGAACTTGTTCTCACTGCGCATGCTCATGCCTCTTCAAGGGAACTTGTTGGAAAGCTAGAGGGGAGCTCGAACGATCTTCGTAAGTTACAGTCTCGACTTATCGAAGACAAAAAGAAAACTGACGACTTGCTACATGAGATTCTGCCCGCCAAAGTCGCTGCTAAATTGCGTCTAAACGAGCCAGTTCCTGGTGAAACGTACAAGCTTGTAACAATCCTTTTTTCAGATATTGTTGGCTTCACCTCTTTGTGCTCCAGTGACAACGTTGTGCCTATGGACATTGTCAAGCTGCTGAACAAGCTATATACATTCTTTGATATGATGACAGGTTTCTATGATGTCTACAAGGTATGTCTGCAAATTACGGTTTTTTAATTACACTTTCTTGGATTGATAAAATTTCTATCGAAAGCAGTTGGTATTGAAATGATGGATGGGATAGGGGGAGTCAGTAGGTTTTTTTACCAAGTAAATTCTATTCTGTTATTATTTTATTGAATAATTCATCATTTTTGCAAATTTTGAAAGGATATAGTCTAGCTAGAAGCTGTAGAATTCGAATGGCTTGGAATAGCTCTGTTTCCTTCTTCTAGACTGCGACATGTATACCAGCACTGGGCCACAAAATTATAGACGCTTAATGAAAAATCAGAATTAACAAAACGACATATTACAGTAACAAATAGGAGGTTTAAACAGTTTGCTAGGTCCAGTTATGGACAACTGCTAGTACTTTCGCAAGCCTTTTAGACTGAGTCCTCTTGTAGTTGCATATTCATAGTTGTTTTGTTAGCTTTAGCTATGCCCTCATAATATAATATAATGAAAAATATTGAGATTCTTAGTAGCTATATTTTTGCAAAATTGCTGTCAATAGAAAAGGTTTTCAAAGAAAACTCTAAGGAGAAAGCTAGCGAGTCAGATGGTGAGGCTGGACAACATATGAAGCTTAAAAAACGAACAGAAAACAAACGAATCACAAACTAGCAAAATTACAAAACTAACTGCAACAAATAATTCGAAAATCGCAAATGAATGGCTATACTTCAAACATCCATGATTTGTAAAGAGACTAATAGTGACTTTGTCCAATGCCGTGTAGGAGAGTGTTTGCGAGGCGAGTACTTGAAGGCCAGTTGGTCCGTCAACCTCTACGCTCAGCGTCAGTGTGAACATTTTGCAAATCGCTTTACATTTCTTCTGATCGCTACAGTCAGGGATTAATTTAAGGTGCAATGATGACCAATTCGTGCAGTGATGAATCAAAAATGCGCAGTGATGAATTGAAAAATGTGCAGTGATGAATTACTTCACTTTTCAGTTTGAAATATTCCAAATACTACTGATTTGGATGTTTTTAGAATAAAGACAAATGAATACAAACTATAATCAAGAGTCAAATGAGATAATCGAATCAACTTACGTGTGATACTCAACTAAAACCAGCTTTAACAATAAAAATAATATACAGTTAATCACAAACGCACTTCATAATGCAAAAAGTGTTTTTACCAGCAAAAACACGTCCGAATATAAAAAAATTCATATAAAAAAAACTGGGGTAGAATATTATAAGTTAGTGGTGACTATCTATAATTATCTATCTTAAAGTAGCTCACAGCATACGAACACAAATCATTAAGAAATATTACCAAATTGAGATGGACTCGACTTGATGGGATCACCTGAGGTTAGTTCAATGAAAGTTTGTTGGCCTATTTAAACGGGAAATATTTCTTACATGCCTATTGCCATATGTTGCAAATTCTATGAATTTCTTTTGCAGTCATGACAAAAGGCACATTTATCTGTCAATCTGTAAATAAATTTCCGTTTGGATAGTAACAAGGAGGGCTCGTCAATTTAGTTTTTTTTAATCTTCAATTTTCATGAGCTTCCCATATGAATTCTGATCGTATGCATCGAATCTTGGCTATCCATTTCCACTCTGAATCTCGATGGCAGGCCCATTGTCATGAAAGACTAGACCGCAACAGCGCTTCTCTGTGCCTCCATGGCCGGTTTCACAATAGGATGTGTGAATTGGAATGACATTTCCAACTGCTGCACTCGTTCCCATAGTTTTCAATGGAAGTTTATGAAAGAATCTTATCTTTACTTATAAGTAAAGAAGTCAGTACCGCGTTTCACTATCTTCGTTACAAGCTCATAATGTATATATGATTTACAAATTGAGATATACTTACCTGTTATCTTAAATTTGATATCAGTTCTTCACGATCATCCTGGATGCCACCAAGGATACAAGAAACCCAATTTTGGATCAAGCTACTTGGTTTATTAAGAAATAAAAAAAATTTCAAGAAAGAAAACTGCCAATTGACCTTGCAAGGAAGAGCTTTGTGAATACTTGATACCATATCCTATCATGGTTTACATTTTAACAAAAGGGTCTATGTGATGCTTTTTACATCTTGCAGTTTGTTTCTTGAAAATTGCTCCTCGCATTTGTTTTCTTCTATAATATATTTCACTACGAAAAGAGAGCTTATCAAAAAAGGTCCTATCAAATTAATGTAGCTGTGGCTATCGGGTAGTGCCAAACACTTACAATACAGCTGAAGGTATTGGAAAGAGGTTGAATCGTGGAGGTGGCTATGGTCTGGAGATTCCAGTTATTTACCACTGTCATGGACAAGAAAAGTTAGTAAACTGGGCTGTAAAGAAGCTCAAAGCTGTAAAAAACCAACTAGATTGTTAAGTGCCAAAGTGTTTGAAATAAATATTTGAACAAATATTCATTCCTCTCAGTCTTTTGCTCGCTGGCTCCTAACTTGTACTGTCCGCTAATTGGAAAGAAAATGGCCAAATTGACTATAATGTGCAAAAAATATTTTCCGTTAATTAGAATGTTCGCTAATTAAGTGTCCGCTTTTTAGAAAGTTTTTCAGATCGTGAAAAAGATCTGGGAAAAAAATTTGTCCGGTAATCAGAGGTGTCCGCCTTTTAGAGCGTCCGTTAATTGGAGAAAGTACTGTAGTTTTGAAAGGTCTGTTCTTATGAGAATGGAAAATAATATAAGAACATTTAGCGTGCTATTGGCCTCTAGTTCAGCAGCGATTTGATTATTTTAGATGTGCGTTCGAAAACCAACATCAAACACAGATGAATTTTTCCCGTAACTTCAATGTGCTTGCTCTGTTATTACTGTAGTTATCTTTTGGTAATCAATGGTACAATCAAAGTAGGCCACCACCTGCAAACAATCGCCTTTGCGGAAAGGTACCTTTGAGTAAACATGATTGGGGCACCAACATCCTCACAGAGGATCTGTTGAGGTTTTGTGGGAAAATTTGTTGGAAATCGTTCCAGCTTTTTTGTTTTCTCTCGATTTTTGCGTTTTTGTCGGAATTTATGTTCACTACTTGGCAGGCACGCTGGTTTAGTTTTCTGTTGGCGTGATATAGTACATTGTAGCTGTTCTTGAATCGACAACATTTTTTAAAGCTACAACGTATTTCACATTCATGTTTGTAATTTGACGTTGAGTAGGGGAAGGGATTAGAAGCATCCTTATTGACTTGTAAAATACTTTTCTTCTTCTTTTGAAAAATGGGCCATACTGTGTTTACAATATATATTGTGTCTCGGGATTGGTGAAATTTAAGAATTAATTGAGAATAATAGCCAGGCGCAAATCTCATCGATAATTTGACTTTTTATATATAAAAGTTTGTTTAAGCATCCACAATTTTTTGCCACCGCATCGGTCTACATACAGATACAATACTTTATCCCCGGTTTCTTGTGGTTCTGGTAGCCAGGAAACCTCAAGCAAAATAGTAGGCCCTGAACTGTACCACACTCCAATTCGTTAAAGTGCCGTATTTTTCAATGAATAGAGGAAATACTTACTGTTTCATCAAGGTGATTGTCTTTATTTTGCGAGTCCTAATTGAAATTAATTGCCAGTTGTTGTTATCATTTGAAGAGCGTGAAATCTGGGCCTGGTTTTTGCTGCCATTTTTTCACTCATGTCAAAATTGGCCTATTTTTAAAGCTCCAAATTCTTCTATAATCACTTTATCGTGTTGTAGCTGTCAATATCTCACTTCAGTAAAAAGCGTGTTTTCCATGCAGGTAGAAACAATCGGAGATGCATACATGGTAGTCGGTGGGCTGCCGAATTCATGCAATGACCACGCTGAGAAAATAGCCAATATGGCATGCAGCATGCTAGATGCAGTCACCCAAGTTTATTCTCCAGTTGATTCACAACCAATCAAGGTATATTTTCTACTTTTTATATTCAGCTTGATTTATAAAGTCTTATAATCGTTCTTCGTCGATTAAAAATTTCAGACTTGTCGTAAAAATGGATGTCTCATCCACTTTGTCAGTTCCCCCCCCCCTCCCTCCCTCTTTCTCTCTCTCTTGAGCCAGACAGCAAACAACGGCCCTGGTTACTGACATTTTGATATGTTTAAGATTTGTTAGTAGAAAACAACAAGCAGAAAAAAGGTCATGTCTAAACACAGAAATGAAGCTTGGTGCTCGTTCTCTTCAGGAGTTTTACAAGCTTATTTTACCGGAAAACAAGATATAATACTTATTATAACAGTGACGCTGCAGGGCCCCTTTTAGACACGAACTCTATAATTTTTCTTTTGTTATTGAATCCTGGACCCTATGAAAAAATTGTTATGCGATGGCTTGTTGCTATGAATAATTTATATCCAAATAGAATTCATAGAAGGAGCAAAGTTAATTTTTCAGTTGATTCTGTCGGTGGCTTAAACCCTTTTCTTCGTGCTTTTGATTTCATTAATAAGCCTCTACATTATTCAGAGTTGTCTTGTCATAAAATTCTAGCGCAAAATTGCTAGTGCAAAGTCATGCGCACACATCTACTTTCTTTCCCAAGAGCTACAAATTTCGCTCTAGCGGACACAAAATTCTTGAATACAAGCTCATAATCTTTTGATTAACTTCAGCTGCCAACACTGCATTACTGGAATCCGATCAATATTTTCAGCAATTTTCCTTAACCAGAAACCATATTGTGATTATAATGTGTGATGAAGACAAGAGTGTTCATTGGATACCTCATCTTTAGGCTATATTTACGCTAAGAATTAAATCCCAAATTCTGTGTTTACTCGAGTTCCTTGTGTAATTGTTTCTTTGCGATCAAGCTCGTTTGCACAACTTTTCAATACACTGTTGCAAATGTAGGAGGAGACTAGATTTATTTTTTGTCATTGCTGTTTGCTTTGTCCTGATATCAAGGTCAAATTCTAGTAAACAATATTTTCAAGAGTCTCTGTCTATTTTTACTAGAGGAACTGGCATTTTTTGTGGATTATTTGGTTTGTGTATACAAATTCAGTCATTCTTTACCGTAAGAACCGGCTGTCTTGTAGTGGCGTACTGAATGCCTATATCCTTGAAAATTTTCCATTTAAATTTGGGGCCAGAAGTGCACGGGGTCATCCTACATGATCTTGGAAAGTGCCCAACTATATCTTAAAAACCCCATATATTATAAAACCAATTTGCATGTCCCTGATTTGTGGTTTATTTAAACTTTGTATTTGTTCCCTAAATTTTCTTTGTTGTTGGAAGACAAACTGACCTAATGCATCCAAACAAGCAAGCTATAACAATTTAACAAACTGTCCTGAAAATTTTCTGTGGCAAAATAATAAATGGTGCCTTGACCTCGACGAATGTCTAATGAAATAAAAACAAAATAACACGGCTATGTATAGATTCATTTCTTTAAGATTTCTATTTGTAAAAAGTTCCTTATTTTGGTTAAAACATATTTTACTTTATTTTTGCTTCATCTGTGGCGATCAGCTTGCTTTGGTTGACGTACAGCTGATAAAGAAGTAAACCTGATAATAAGTTTCTTTATAGAAAGAACGGAAGTGAAATCGCAAATTTCACGATTATATACAGTTAACTTAGAACAATTTAAGGCTGAAAGCGGGAGTCGTTTCCTGTCTCGCGTTTTTTATCCTTTATTATTTTGTTTTTCTTTGGAGACGTCGAGCTTATATCACACTTTTCATCAACTGGTGTAGGCTTCTTGCCTCATTTCAAGTCGACAATACCTCCATATTTTCTCCGCCATGTGACAGGGCAGGCAGAGCCCATTTTGCTTAAATCGTCATTGATTCTCAGTTTGTGAAGCAGGTCTAGTCTTAAAAAACGTAAAGGTGCAAATGTTAAAACTTAAAGACGTTTTTGAAATTAAGAACCTGCAGATTTTTAAAACTTAGCTTGGGTTATAGCATAATCCAGATTGAGAAAATGAATGATTTTTAGTTGATTGAAATCCTCGAAGGGATTTTGTTGATTCAAGTGCGTCATTTGTACTGGGATATTGTAACATGTAGCTGAAATGTAATCATATTTAGAACTCCTAAACAATAATTGGAATAGAGATTTTAAGGCTTTTTTAAAAATCTGTTTGTACGAATCTTTGTAATTGCTAAAAAGTTCAGAAACACAGTTGTAGAAAAAGGTACTGAGATAACTTGAGAATATGAAGATAAATTAGCGCCCTTAAGGAAAAACGTGACGCAATTGGAGTTGTTTTAGATAACCTTAGGCGTGTTGAGGTATTGAAGCTGATCCCTGAAAATAAAGAAATTGTTAGAATGTACAGAGCCTTCTATAGATGGAATGTTTTTATTATATTTCAAAAAGCCATGATCAATTGCCGGAGCAGCTTAGGATGCAACGCCATCGAAACAGCAGGTCACGATGACTGTTGATGTTGACATCTTCATTTGCGAATCTGCTCTTCTTTATTGTAAACAAACGGATCTCTAGTTTAACTTCTAATGCAGGTGCTGTTCTTGCTATTAAAGCAACCTTAAAGTAGCTGCAGAACCAGTGGTGGAAGAACCAACCTCAACCAAGATGGTTTCGGGGTGTGAGGGCCTACTCCCAGCCAATTTTCCAGCAATTATGGTTCTCACGATTTATGCAAATTTAATAAGGAAAATGAAGAAGTGGGGGAAGTCTGAATCACTAGAAGCAGACCAGATATATTTACTCGCATGTCTTTTATTGAAAAGCCAGCCAAGTACCATTTTTCCATTTCTTGCAGAATAAGCATTTTTCTTCTGAAAAAGATGAGATGTCAATTCCATGCATATTCCACATTTTAGATCATATTAAAATGACACCCCTTTAAGTTTTTACGCGACGTGGCCTTACGCGAAAAGAGCACGGTCGCGATCAAATACCCTCGTTCCCTTTCGCTTTTCGGCGGTGCTGCCGCTGTCAGCTCGGACCATTGTAAACAAGTCATTGAAACATAAAGTTCTAAAAACCTGGATCAGTAAAAGAATTGTCAAGAAAATGCTTTTTGTGAGTTTCCGACATTCTGACAAGACGCAAGATCTTAAAAAAATTGATTGTATTTGCAAAAGATTATAATGAATTTTCTTAAGTTACTAACACGACAGAAAGCTGATTCAAAGGATGGACTATATATTGTGAACATTTATTTAAAAAACATAATCTAATAGTTTTGTTTGCTTTTCCAGTATGGTGCAAAATATTTATCTTTCGCAAAAATTTCCTGACTTTGATGTCCAGGGTGTTAATGGACTTGTAGGAGACAGCTAAGCTTTGTCACCAGTGGCATTTGAAATGATTAAAATGCTTATATCCATTGATTTAGTCATGCATATCTTTTTCTTATTTAATTACATTTAAAATTAATTTGATAGACAGCTTTGGAAATTAATTAACATCAAAAGATTGGATACGATTTTGGAGTGGGGATGTTTTCAGTTGAACTGAATCGTCATGTCAGAATTAGCGTGAGATAAGAAAACGAAGATCTCTTCATTAGATGTTATTAAAGAGTAGGCCAAATTTTGTCAATATTCAAAACCACAATGTCACGAAATCAATCCCTGACTCCCTCTTTCTGATTCAGCTTGACGGCACAACCTCCTTACTGCATCATACATGTGATTTGTGAAAGCGTTTTAAACTCTTTGACAAGATATTTGTTGAGAATTAAAATTAGCTTGCTAAATTCAAAGGGCAAATCTTCATTGCCATATAAAAGGATTTTCAATATATTGTCATCTAGAGCCTCAGGTTTATCATAGGCTTCGAATACATGGTTGACACCAGCCAGGAGACTTCTTCTAGATTCATGCTGATGTCGAATTATCCGTCAGTTCATTTGCTACTTGTTGCAACTTTCGTTTCTATTGACGATTAACGCTACCCCAAATGTATTTTAAGCATATCCATCCCAATTATACATTGCTAGTTTTGATTGATGTTGACATTGCTAGTTCTGATGTTGGAAGCATGACATCAAGAATTACTTGATTTTTAACTTTTTGTGCTAGGTTGTACTTTTTTAAGTTTCTAATAATGGACCCTAATCATCACGCTAAGTAAAATAATCTTTGAAGTATTGATCAAAATGTAGAATAAATCAAAATATGCAAACGACTTCTTTAATTGATAATAGGTTATGTACCATCTCCGCCTTGATCCCTATTGAATGTGTAGTTAGCTTTCTCACTGTAGTATAGCTGAAACTAAAAGCTTCCCTTTTTGTTATTATAACATCGATGGCAGTATATTTCTCTTGGTGAAAATTGAAGCAAAATGTCTTCTCAAATGTCAAGAGCTTTCCTCAAAATCTTCTCTTTAGTTGAGAACTGCACTTTCCATCAGTAGCATAACGGAGCAGTGTGGAGCCCTTATACCTAATAAAATTTGAGTCAGGTTTTAAAGCCTTAGTACTAATAACAACTCCTCCTATTCCCCAATACTTTGAATGTGAAACTTTATCAAAATATCAAAAAAATCTATGCTGGTGTGATTAACGAATGTTTGCTTATGCTGCATTCACACTGTTAAACCAGATGTATTTATACTAGGCTAAATTTTAACAAATCAAATGATCCGATTTGTTGGATCGACCAATTAAAAGGCCCTACTCAATAACCTGACTTAGTTAAAGCTGGTTTAACTCGCAAATGTGAATGGGGTTTAACTTGCAGATGTTTTAAAGTTCAAATTACCTTTCTTCTTTTTCTTTCTGCAACAACTCCTAACATAACTTTAAACTTTCTGCCCTTGTGTGGTCCTTATTACTAATGAAGAATATTATAAGACATAGATAATGAAACGTAATTAATGCAATTGCCGTAAAATTCTGTGATAGTTTGTCCAAAATGTCTAGACTAGATAAATAAACAATTTAAAACTGCTTCCTTGAGAAAATCAATTAGATTTTAAATATCTGTGATATCCTCGTAAACTAAATACAATTTTTTCAACAGACAAAGACGTGTATTTAAAGAAAACCTTTACATCATTATTATATGGTTGCTCACATTTACAAATCATACCCAGTCTTACTTCCATTCTCATGATGCTGTGAATGCAATTTAGAAACATATGCTTTCATCTAAAAACCCGTTTTTCGAGAAATTTCTCAGGGGCCCAAATGTTTCGGGTCCCTTAGTTTTGTGCTTTTAGGTGCACACCGTACGTTACGCCATTGCTTCTCATCTTCATTATTATTGTTATTTAATATCTGTGCTTTCAAAGTATGCTTTGGTACGATGATCGAATTCAGAGTTGCCTAGCCACGTGTTTATCGGCTGGTGGCCTAGTGGTTACGACTCATCATCCTCCATGATAGTAAAAAAGCAGCTGCTTGGACATTCAAAAAAGCTGTCTGACATTCTCACGTTCAACGTGGTACATAAAGAAACCCTACCGTATATTGTCTTTGAAAAGTCGTCGACTGAAGAATTATTTCATTAAATTAACCGATTTTCAGTCGAATATGGTAAATAATCTTCAAAAATTGCCAATCCTAGTTTTCAGACTTAAAACTTTTTTAATTTTTTTCGTTTGGTTGGTTTTAATTTATGTCTTCAAAGGAAGTTGTTTATCTAAAAGCAATGAAGTTCATTTCTTGTATTGTTCTCTTAAAAACTATTTCTGCTAGTAAGGCTTTTCTTTTCTTTTTTAGAAAGACTTTTTTGGAAAATCTATTCTCACTTTTAACATGAATTAAATAGACAAGGGGCTGGCTGCGTTCTGTTCCAAAGCTAGCTGTTTTATTTATCGTCACATGGTTCTAAAGCGACGACTGTTGCGAAGTTCATCCTTACCATTAGGAACTTCCAATTTACTGGAACCTTAGACAACCTTAATCTTTTGCTAGATAATAAAAAGGGATACAGCCAATCTAAGGTGGAGGCTGCATTTACTTCACTGCTATTGCCTCTTTAGCTCATTTTGCAAAGCAATACAATGTGTTGCAAATATTATAAAATAGCGGTATAAAAAAAAGGCCTCAACAAAATAGATTCCGTAACTTAGTGGCCATTCAACTCAAATTTCACAAGTATGGTTGGCCAAATGAAGCAGAAATCAAGAAGATAGATTTATTTAAGTCACAGTGGTTATTTTCACATCCCAGAAATAAAATGAAAATGAACAGTCGAATTTTAAAAGAAATCAAGTAATGATACCAAGTTCAAGAATAACTTCAGCTCCAAAGGGATATAAATCAACGTCAAAATACTATAAGTCAACATAAAAAATCCAAGAATACCATTTTTTCAGCCTTTTGGCAGCAAAGTGTAAAGCATAGGCTTTAGAAACATTCAGGCTTTAAAAAAAATTTTAGAAGACTTTGTGAATAATCGACAAAGAAAAATTTATGAATAGCCCACGACCTGTAAACTAGTATTTTGGCATACCTAGAATAGTACTGACAAAAATTTGTAGAATTTCTTAAATCTGAAATTCTTATGTATTAAAAAGACAGCCAGCCAAAGGAGTAGAAACACAGTCATTAATATTAAAACAAATGCTTTCAAGCTAAGAAATGTTTAAGGGAGAAACATTAGGTCGAAATTTTTATGGGTGTATGTATAACAATCTTTCAAGGTCAAAAGTTTTTCTTTCACAAATGTGTTAACAAAATTCTATTTATACATGATATGTATAGAAATAATTCAATTCATATTATATCACTCTTAAAAATTTATCTCGAATGCGAATTCTCAAGTGTGACAGTGTCAGCTGCACCTTCTCACGACAAGATTGTCCTTTTAATTCCATTTAAGGACGGACTTTTTCCTGAGTATTAGAAAAGCCCTTTATTTCCTTGTCTTAGAATGTTTTTTTCTCGTCTCCTTATTCCTCCTAAGCATCTTTTTAAATTTAGGCAGATTTCATTTGATTCATCAGCTTTTTGTGTTTTATTTTGATTATCTGTCTCTGTTCTTCTGATCCTTTTCTACACGTTCTCCTCTAAGTTAGCTTTCAATTCATTTCACATTTTGATTTTTTCTAAGTTAGTTATCTTAATTTATATCCCATCTTGCTTTAAAATGCCTTTTTACATCCTTTTATTTCTATTGACTTACTCGTGAATTATGCATTGAAGATAATATTTTTAATGATATTATACTTATGAGCAGTGTGGAAAGAACTTGCAAAGCCATTCTCATTTCATCACAACTTTTGTATTGAAGTCGCCAATTGGAGAATTGCATTTCTTCTTTCGCACCATGTGAAATATAGTATATCGATTTCTTTTTGGTTTGTTTTTCTCGACTTCTTAGATATCATTATTACGTGTTTCACATTAGGTGCCTTCAGTGTTCCCATTATTCGAAATACGTATCAATGACTTTTGATCTCTTAGTTTTTCCGACATATTTCATTGCCCCAGATTTTGACAACGGAGTCGAGCAATTATTCTAAAATTTGAAAATTTGTTGGTTTGCTCTTTTTGTAAGTTACGTAGTTTTGTAAGTTTTGGAAATTTACGAATTTAAAACTCATTCTACCCTCGACTTGACATAAAAACCTAAAAGCAACACATCATTTTTTGACGATTTAAGGCAGTAAAATATTGTGCTCGTCAAATGTCCAAAATACTTTACTATCACATGGCTAGGAAAGCTGAACTAGAAAACTCTTGAGAAATTGGAAAAAAACAATTCATCTAGATATTGATCTTATCCTTCCAAAGTTTGAAGTTCGAAGTTTGAAGAATTTGCGAGTATCTTGTTTCTCAAAATATCAAAAAGATAAAATTTCTCTTCAATGAAATGCATCGTTATGGATTATGAAGAGTGTTTAGCAATGCTGTTGGCGCTTGGCCAACGCGGATGTGGATGTTCAAAGAGAATATTTGATTGACAGCCTTCACAGCAATAAACAACATTATCGCAGTATCTCTTAATGGGTCGTGCACCATTTTTCTCGAAGGAATATTTTCATGTTGTTCAAAAGATCATATCATCTAAAGAAAATTGAAAATGTTATAAAACGTACGATCGAACGATTAAGAGATGTTAAATGATATTGATTTTAAAAGAATGAGAAACCTATCTTCGAGAATTTTCTGTGAACTGTATGTTTCAAGTAGATAAATAAATCCAATATCAAAATGATGGAAGATCTTCATCAAATCTGATAATGCTGAATAATTTTCAGTTCTTCTGGTCATCATGTTCTATGGAAATTCACTAGCATCTCGAAATACTAATGAAATTACAGGACAAATAAATATATTAGTTTTCGTTTTCTGAGTTTTACTAAAAACCTTTTCCAAACGTTTTGGAACACAAGTGTCAGTTTTCATGAATACGTAAAAGTGGTATCTCTTAAATCATTTATTGTCTGCAAGTCTCAAGATGAGAATATTTCGTTGGGCCTTGATGAAGGGCTGCATACAACTTGTATAAATTTAGCGACTGGAATCGATCTGTTTTATAGAGGACTTTCTATTATATGTCTTTCAATATGGGAACTTTATGCAGTTACACGATATCATTGCTCCTGTTTTAGGTTTTTATGTTTTCTTAAAACGGCCAATTGTTTTTAAATTGAACTTCTCTATTTTAGATTCGCATAGGTCTACACTCTGGTCCAGTAATGGCTGGCGTTGTGGGCCAGAAAATGCCAAGGTATTGTTTATTTGGGAGCACAGTTACTATTGCCAACAAGATGGAAGCTGGTAGCCTTCCAGGGAAGGTCAACGTCAGTTACGAAACAAGGCGGTGAGTGTTCGCCTCTTTATCTCCTAGAGCTCCCTTCTTTTCTCTGCTTGGTGAGCATTGATCACATGACTGCATTCCAGCACCTGTTTGTTTTAAAGTGCTTTAGCAATGATTCTTTGCAGCTGGTATCTATGGCAATAGAGTTGAGGTCGTCTTTATTTTGCTGCTAGATTTTGCAATTGTGTGGAAAGCAAACTGAACGTTGGACTAAGATTGATTGAATATTTAGGTCTTCTTTATTTTGTTTTTAGACACTTGGAAGATGAGAGAGGTTTGTGGGACTTTGAGAGCAATTCTTCCCCGAACCCAATAGCATGTTATTTTCTTAAACGCAACATTGCAGCAGCACGAAAATCAAAGGTATTTGATTTTAGACAGCGCACTACAAGCTCTTGTTTACTAAAGTCTCCGTCCTGCTCTCCAAATGTAAGTCCTAGAGTGAAGTCTCCGCTACTTAAGTCCTCCAGCATGTCCCCTTCGACTCTGGCAAGTTGCCCCTTTTCAGCTGTTCTGTCAAGGAGAAATGTCGAAGAAGTTGGTTCACAGGATCGGTTCCTAGAATCTTGAAAATTGCAATGATGAAGCTGGAAATCTGCGCAACGAAGTCTGCACATGATAAAATTTCTGCACCGCTTTAACAAGCACGTCATTTTCCACGAATTTCAAAGAAACACGTATCTTAATTAACAAGTGTAGCAAAAAAATTAGACAGTGTTGCCTAACCTTGTTTGCAATCGATGTCGTTTGCTATAAAATATTTGTTAAGATAGAAAGATATTTCTTTTGATAGCAATCTCGTGGTTTCTTTGTGCGTTCGTAGCTCATATATTTGTATTTATATCCGCACGCGTAACGATTATTTCATGCCTTTGTTAATAAACTTTTCCCTTTCCAGTATTTTACGAGAAATTTTGTGCAAGGAAAGGTAACCCGTATTGAGTTTCGTCCCGAGTTGCGTTTTTCCCTAGTTAGAATTTCGCACCAGGCTGAATTTGGATTTGACCGCTTGGAAATCTTTTGTTTATAGTGCATCGTTTGCAAGCGAAATTCAACATGTCTTCGCGGACCGGGTTGAAATATTGAAATATGATGTAGACGTCCATATCTCTCAAACATGAGCGAGTGGAAGAGCTCAACACGGTTTTGAAATCGCATGTAAACAACAGCCAAATTTTCAATTCAAGTTAATCTTAACCCTTGGTTAAATGCAACTTGGCTAACTTTGACCATTTTAAGGCATTACATCTCGTGAATTACCTTGCGGAAAAAACATATTTTCGCAACCTGCCGGTATTTGCAGGATTTTCGATGCATTGGTATTTTATCATTGCCGATTTCCGTAGTCATCATTCTCTTGTTATACCCCAACTGCAACATCACGGTGGCAGTTGAATGAGCTACTAGTTTTACAATGCAACAGAGAATCATCTAGAGTGTTCTATAATTGCTGAATATCAATTCTGCCGCCTGTATACAGAATGTATGCATACAGCACATCACTTGCCTTCTCAACTATATCATGGTTCAAAATTTTCCTCTTCAAAACAAACTCTGAATAATTGTTATGCCCTCTGCATTTCGTAAACCGTACAGCCTTGGCCTCATTTTCCTTGATTAATGTTATTTTGCTCATTATCAAATTTCGTTGTATTGGCATCTTCACTAGTGTGTACATGGCCATCTTCGCCATCCTCATCTCCATCTCAGAGACCATGGAGGCGGACGAAAATTTCAATGTTCTAGAAGCCAAAAACAAATCATCCCATCATCAATTTTTCTTAAATCAAAATTCTTAGAAAGAAACCGAATTATCTTACCGTAAAATTACGAAGTGAAATTTTAAATAAGTTCTCACAGAGTTAAGTTACATCAGAGAATACCATCAAGAATTTGTTACTTTACTTATGGATTATGGTTAGCGAAAGACGTATATCGTGTTTCTTAGTGTAGTTTACCCAGTTTATGACATTTGCACGACCTAACAACCCTGTTGGGCATAGGTGCTAAAGCTATAAAAAACATTGAAATTAAAAATCTTACTATTTTGCTAAAGCAAATTCTCCCTGCTAACAGCGATACTGATAGAATTTAATTATACGAATCATTTGGATATAGGAATTTATTTTAAAAGTTTCATTAGGAATCTAGAGTATTAAGATTTTCTAAAACACAACCCCTTCTTCAAGAATAAAACACAAGGGAACACTCAATGAACAGTGGTCTTTTTTGACCAGTCCCCACCTCTAGTTCTTGTTTGTCAATAGTTTATTAGCAGGACAAGTAGTAGGTCTCTTGTTTACTTCCATTCAAGATTCATTATCACTTTGTAAGTCATTTTAGCCTTCTTTTAAAGAAGTTTAGCCCCGGCTTCTAATCAAGCAAAAAATTTGCTCCTCTTGCCTTAGTTTCTTCTCCTTTTGTTGATTCGCACGGACAATGATTTTGAGTTGATATAAAATTTGAGACTGACACTGTCGATTTTATACATATGGGGGATTAAGATTTGACTTGCTTGGTGTCCTTTTCAAGACAACCTACCTTGCAGTCGTTTTGATGTCTTTCTTTGCATGTAGTTGACCAGGGGCGGATCCATAGAAAATTTGAAGGAGAAACGGTTCGTAGTGGGGGCGCTGAAAATTTTTTTCGGAAATTGGTAACGAGAGTACGTTGTATAGAACACAGCCCTAACTACTGACAGATAGCTCTCTTTTCACGTTCTAAGAAAATTTTCACAAATTTTGTCAGCAATGATATATCGTCTATAGCATGACTGAAGGTCTCTTATTAAAATCTCTCCGTTATTAGGTAGATAAATTTTCGGGCTGAGCATTGGCTGCTCCGCCATAGTGGCTCAAACTCTACTAGAGCACTGCAAAAGGGGCTGATCTGAATGCTTTTTCCTTAGCGAAAAATCAAATTTTGGGGTGCTCAGAAAATTGCCGCTTTTGGTTTAATTTTCAATTGGAGCATGGTAGTACTTTAATACATGCACTTAAAATTGGATAGTAAGTCATTACTGCAAAAGGTAAGATTGATTATTCAGGGTTTGATAAAGGTGGTCACTATGGTTGGTGGCAGAAAAAGTGTTGCATATATGTCTGGGATATGTACATCATCGACTGAGAAGTAAGGATCCTAGGCACAACAGACAAATATTCTGTAAAAAAATCTGCTCCATACTCTTACTTGGTTTGATTATGCTATGAAGATTTGAAAATTTTTAAGCACAAGAAATTGAACGCTATTTGAATGAAGACATGAATTAAAGAACACAGCTTGTGGATAGCCTTTGTTGTCTTCTAAAGCGTGATTTTTCTAGCAAAACATGATCCTTTTTCGAAATAAACAAGTTAACTTTGAGATAAACCTTTAAGTAAATTAACCTATAGGTCTCGGAAACTTTCCCCTTGATTTATATTCTTCAAAAGGGGCACACAATTTCCAAAAAGGGGCGCCAAACTTGCTTTCACTCGGTGAGGGAGGGGCAACTGCCCTAAGTTGCCCCCCCTAAATCCGCCACTGTATTTGACCCGCAACTATGATTCTGTGCTTTCTGTGAAAATGGGAACTTTGATTCGAATGACATACATACTGTAAGTGCACAGGCCAACACCTTCGAAACACCTCTCTCCTCCGTGGAAAAAAGCCCCCAATTAGCTGGACTTTGATATTATCACGAAAAGTGTATATCACAATTCTACTGTTTTCAGTTATTCTGTGGAATGGTCAGGATTGGGGATCGCCTCAGTGCCTGCTGTTTTATCTGCTGATTTACCCTGGGTACCAGAGCCACGTAAATTGAAGAGGAAACAGAAGATAGGAGTGGAGAAGCGGAGCCGCTCCTCCGCTTCTCTGCTTGGCATTCTGTTTACGTGCTCGAAATGTTGTGGCTCTGGTCCCAGCATACTGCTGATTTAAATAACATTAAACAAGTAAAAGTCAAAAATGGTCCTTGTAATTTTTCGGCTACTGCTAAATAGTTTTGCGAAATATGCCCCCTGGGATCATGTCCCCAAAAGGCATAAAACATTCCAATTGCAAGAGTTCAAAGTCCAATGCTCTGTTTGTTCCTGTTGCTGCTTGCAGTGAGAGGAAGAGAAATCACATTTCCAATTTTAAGCTGTTCGATTGACTTGGATTTAGAAATACCGGGTAAAATGGCAAACAAATGCAAAAGTTTTATGTTGAAACAACACTTTCAAGGAAAGCCTAAAGAGGATGATTTTAAGATGCTAGAAGAACCAGTACCTACCAGTTTAGCTGATGGGGGTAAGTGGATATATGATATAGGCACTTTTCATCTCGAATTTTGTCATCATATTGCTGGGAACAGTAAGAGCTAGAATGCGGAGCATGTCAAATCATTAAGAGAAACAGCGTGATAATTCATTTCATACAAGTTTGAATATATTTGCAATTGAAATTGTTACAAGCTGTTGTTGAGAGTTATGCAACGAAAACTGTTTGCCCTCAAGGTGTGTTTGTTTGCGGTCAAAAAGGGGCGTTGTTCACATGAAATAACTGAATGAAACAGAGATAATTGCATGATGTATCTTTCAATGGGGCCTCAAAAAAAAATTTTTATTGGACTCTGTAGTTTCACAGTTACCAAATTTAAGAAACGCTAATTTTTTGTAACAAAATATTTATAAGGAACCAGTAATTGGCAGTCAGAACAAATTATGAAATTTCTGCACTCGAAGTAAAAAAATTACAAAAGCAATTCGACCTTGTAAAAAGACGAGAACTCTTTTGTTTAGAAAATTTTGTAAATTTTGAATGAATTTGCTGGTCGACACAAAACTAAGACACAGGGAAACAAATTACTTCCCTCATCTAAACGAATCTTTTGACAGAAATGTCAAAGTACCAAGCCCACTGTTTCTGGCTGCAAGAATCTTACCCTTAAACAAATTTGTCTACAGTATAACCTTGTTATAAAGTACTCGGTTATAATGTACTTTTGGTTATAACATACTGTTGTCCGTACTTAACATTAAGAAAATACCACGCTTATAACATACTCGTTTATAATGTACTCTCCAGGGGCGGCTGGGAGTAGAAAAGTATTGGTATTAGCCTCCGAAATTAAGACATAAGAAGGTCCCCCTGCAAGGTCCTGAAACTATTTAACAGGGGTGGAGCTTATATGTTCTTATTTAAGAAGGTGGGCAAAATGACCTTTTCGATATGATGGTTTAAAATAGCTTTTGGCAATACCATATCTTACAAAATTATTTGAAGGCACTGGCCCCCGTTGTCTCCCCCAGACACTGATGACCCTGTGGTAATGTAGTTCATCCTACTAGTTTTGGGTGAAGGATCGGTCCTACGAAATACAAATGAATTATAGCTGCGGCAAATTACTCGAGCGAAATCGTGTTTTGATACAGCGGTTTGCTGCCCAGTAATGGAGCCCCAAGGTATTAGCCCATTAATTCTAATACCATGAGGCTTTTGGCCCGCGAATGAGATTCTATTACGATAAAGCGAGCGATTTACTTTAGAGTAATGCAGCAAAAAAACGTAAGATGTATCATTTGATTTGAGAAACCGAGAGAAATAATGTGAGAATGTTGCCTATGACTCTACAATCATATAGAATCGAAGTTTTACAAAACATACAGTTCATACAAAACAACTTTTACAACTGCCTTTAGCTTAAACAAATTATTTCATGACTGTTGCTCTTTATATTCAGTGTCTAAATTTTGTCAATCAAATTATCCATCCAAAGGCATTGCTAGCAAAGTACAGCTACATTTTGTAAATTCATAAAGTTAATTTCCAGAAATATTTTTTCTATAAGCTGAGGCCTTAGAATAGAGCTGGGGCTCTTTCCACCGTCCCTTCCACTGACAGTGGCCCTCGTAGTATTAGAAATGAAAAACTAATACCTTACTGCTGTTCACCCATTCTTCTACCATGGCTCAACAAGAGAAATTCACGTCATGCAGACCACAACAGACAAAAGAAATTTCGGGGCAGTGTATTAGTTTTTGGAGGCTAATACCATGGCCAGGGCTGCTGATTACGGCATGGATTACACTTTTCAAAGATTTCAATGAGGATTAGGAAAGCTTTCATTCAATGAAGAAAAGCAAATATAGCTTGGCTATATGAATAGAGCTGGTCGCATCGATGAAATTGTTGTGAAAAAGTGGCAGCGTACAAAAAGCAAAATAAATTTCCTGCAATCTCAGAGACCCAAAGTCGCCTTCCTTTGAAAATAAAATGGTATTAGACTAATACCTTTAATACCACCCCACGCCGCCCCTGGTACTCTCGGCTATAGTGAACGTCTTCTGCGACCCTCCTAAACAAATTCCTTTAGATATAACATACTTTGTGCATCTTCTTCGGTAAAAATCTACTGTGTTGCGTCTCTTGTGTCAAGGTGCCATGTGTCATAGATAAAAAAGATTGTTTGATAATGTTATATTGTTTCCTTGATTAATTCAAGTGCTCTCCTAGTTTTACAATTATTTTTCGAAGTTTTTGGATTCGTCTAATGTCAACGAAACATTGAAGTTGTAGAGCAGAATTGTTGCTGCAGTCAACAAAATTTGTATATTCACAAATGCTTTTCAGACTTCTCCCAACTGGGCCTATAACAATTTAGCTGAAAGTGTTATATTCTAGATGCATTGTTTACAACTTGGTTATAATCATTTTTTCCTTACCCTGGTTACAGTGTACTTTGGATATAACATACTTAATCTGCCGTCCCTTAAAGTATGTTATAACCGGACTATACTATATCATGAAAAATCAAATATATGGCCAAGTATGCAGGCAAAGGCACACCCAAGATGCAGACATGGTATTGATGAGGGCACACCAACAGCTTGCTTTATTCTAATTTAATCCATGAAAAAATGATAGTTCTGGTGCACCTTGGACATCTGGCTGATGTTTGCACCCAAGATCTTGTCAAAAAGACCATACTCCGCAAACTGGTATAAGACATGAAATTTCGAATTTAATGACATCATAATTAGGAAGCTCTCAAGAACAATGAGTGTTTTGATTTGCCAAAGCATTAAGAATTGATTTGCCTTTGTTCAGGGGAGTAGAGCTAGGGTGCTCAGAGGGGCAAATTTCTACTTTAGCTATTTTCGCATCGTTTTGTGCAAGAGCCCTTCCTTGCTATTTTGATTGCACTACACCACTGCCTTTGTATCTTATAAAGAGTGTATGGATGCAAGGATCCATTATCTTACCAATATGGTAATGTTTGGCATTTGCACCCCAAATGATAAAATATGACAGTGTGATCACATCCTAGAAAGCATTCCAGATTTGGATTTGTCTTGAATTCTTTTATTCTCATGTGCAAAACTGTTAACTCTTGGCTTTTCCAGCTATCTTGAGCTCATACCAAAGACAGCTAATACCACTTCATACTAACTGGTTGAAATGAAAAGTATTTGTTTAAGTTTGGAGCAAGATTTGTAATTGAAAAGAAAAGACAAATTTCTTTATCTTAGCTTTTTCTCTCATTTGTTGATCCTCCTTATTAAAATTTTCAATGTATATATATAAAATTTCCAAAATCCAACAGCCTCAGGCTGCTCCAGTTTTGTTCTTTTCAACAGTCTCATTTAATCCTCCTGAACAATCAAAGTGAATCCAAGTTGATCTGAGTTTAGTTGTCAAATTTTGATTAGTCTTCATTTTTCTTTAGCTAGGATTTGTGCACCATTTTCTATCATTCCTGCTCTTATAAAAAGTAGAGATATTTATGTGCCTAGTGGGAGAGGGGGGTAATTTAGATAATAACAAATTTTCAGATGTGACATTCTGATGGTAAAAGAAGGATTATTTCATATTTTTAAAGACTGATGAGGCATAGTTCACTAGGGAAACTGGAAACTTTGAGACACATAGTTAATGAGTTAATGAGTGTAGCTAATCGAGGATGATTATCACAATTGATGTTGCTAAAACAAGGAACTAGCGGAATATGCGCAGAACCTGCATGGAACGTGTGCAGGACCTGCACAGAACAACCAAGGAATGACCATTAAACTCTAGCAGAACGACCAAGGAATGAGTGTGGAACTAGGGAAACAACCACAGAATGAAGAGAAAACTAGCGAAGGACCAGGGAATGAGCTTGGAACTAACAGATTGTATACTGGAGGAATTTTTATCCAAAGTTTTATCCTTGTCTTTAAGGCCTTGTTCTAGGGGCCTGCTTAGCTATTAGCCTATTATCATTAAGATAACGCAATATTACTTGGCTGCCAAAAGTCAAAAGTTTTAAAAACTACTGACTGTGTCCCCGATATCCCAAACAATTGCCTTCACTCAATTAAGATCATTGGTCTTCACTGCGCTTCCTCGGGTGTTCATTTCTGAATGCTGCTAGTTCTGCTAGTTCCATTTGTTCCGTTGTTATTCCCATTGCCCTCAAAAAGTTATTTATAGAGATCATTGGGTTGTTCTGTGGTCATTCCTTGGTCGTTAAGCTGGTTCCGGGGTCATTCCTTGATCATTCAGCTAGCTCCTTGCACGTTCTGCTAGTTCCTCATTTTAGCAACATCATTATCACAAATGCCTTATCACCCAATTTCATTTTTATTGCAGAATTCCTTGTTGAAATGATCTGTCTCAGTGTAGATCCATACATGAGGTAAGAAATTCAATTATGCAGCTGTAGCTACATAGACTTAGTCCTTTAAGAATGGGGCTAGCAAAAGTAGATGTTCTAACAAGCTCAATTCATAATTTTTTACGCCATGAGAATGGAGATTCTTCAACAATGTCAACAATGTCATACTTCTTAGCTGCTTTTAAAGGAGGTTTTCTTTGAGTGTACAAAATTGATTTCCCCTTGAAGAATGTCTCTAGAATATAACAGACTGTTACTACATGTAGTTTTGTTACTAACAATGTATTTTACTTTTTTATGTGTTTTGTTTTATCATCATTAGACACACTCTTTTGTAACCCTGTTTTACATATTTGTTTGTTAATAGGCCATACAGTAGGAGAATGAAGGAAGGGGACCTTATGATTGGTACAGGTGTTGGCAAGTAAGTCATGACTCTACTTGACATTTTTTCATTATTCAATCACATCTGTTTGTATTGTCCTAATACTCTGTTTTTTATCAGCTCATTACTAATTTGCACCTCAATACTCATAGCAGGCAGTCATTTAAAAACACAGCCAGGGAAGCTAAATTTTAGCTATTTGATTCCTAGTAAAGCAAAAAAGGAAAAAAATTGTTATCATTTACAATGTTTGCTAATAAACTCACTGCAGTGTAGTCTACATGCTCGATGGATGCATTTGTTGTCAACGTGATGATTGTACTGCGTGTAGTTTGATATAAACAAAATGAGCCAACAATGACTTTTGGTTGAAAAATTGCTGGATTGACCATTTTTACTTATTCATTTTTCATATTGATATCAGCTTTTGCCATGCTAATTAGTGATCCTTAAAGCAAGAGTATTACTTGTCATAGAGTCATAATGTCAAAGCACAACGACTTCAAAGAAGGTTCACTTGTTACTGGTCCATTTGGATGGCGAACTCATGTTGTTAGTAAAGGCTCAGGTGTCTTGACCCTACCCGACTTTGGAGATCTTCCAGCCTCTTATGGTATTGGGGCACTAGGAATGCCAGGGTATGTCAGTTTGTTGTCAGTTGCTCACTATTATCATAATTGCAATTGCCAAACAATCTATAATATTTTGTATTAAAGTTACTGTTAACAGATCTGTCATTGTTAAGTGCTCAATGCTGTGTAGGCAGAGTTGTACACTTTTGGTGAATAAAGCAGGAAGATTCTAAGTTGCTACTCAGAGTTTAACACTTAATGCCATCACCAGGCAATACTAATCCATTTGGCATATTTTGTTTGCTTTGTATTCATCTTTTGTAATGTTTGGATACCCACATCCAAACTGTAACGTTTGTAACGTTGGCTGCTGAGGAAGTATAGCAATATATCTTGCATCCTGAAAAGCAATTTCAACGATCTTAGGGGGTCTGTGTTCCATTGTTCCCTAAGAGATATTCCCAATCATGTTTATAGAATGTTCCCAAAAAATCTCTTAAGACCTTGTCAAAATGTTCCCTTGATACCTGTTAATAATGACATGTGCCCATATTCCCTCCCTCTAAAAAAACTGCAGGTTCCCCTGTTCCTGGTGATTACTGGGAGGGCCTCAGTGTTTGATAATACTTTCTGCTCTGTACAGAAAACCCAATTCCGAAAAGTGGTGTGGTGTAGGGACATTATTCACATTTGTCCTGTTTTTTCCTGTCGTATTTGTTCCCTGCTACATTCAAATATTTCTTGACGTTGCTTAAATGACAATAGCGGAACCTAGGCAGCATGCCTGATTGTGTCTGTTTTTTGATTGTTCTATGACATCCTTTTTCAATACATGCCTAGTAGATCCAGTACAGGTCTCTTTTTAGTTGACTTTTCTGTATTATCCACTTCCATAAAGATGACGAGATGATATTTTCGGAGAACGTTAGTAGCTGGATTGCGTGGTATTTTGGAAAAGAGCTTTAAAAATAGCTTTGAATAATAACTTTAGTATGACTCAAAATGTTTAGTTTTCGATGCGTCATTTTTCCCGTTTTTAATACTGAAATTATTGAACTCATGTTTTCAAAACATTGCCCCACTTCAGCTTGCTTTCAAGTATCATTCTCTTGCAGCATGACGGCATACTTTGGACTTCTTGATATTTGCGAGCCACGGCCTAATGAAACTGTCGTGGTTAATGCTGCTGCCGGCGCTGTTGGTTCGCTTGTTGGGCAAATTGCAAAAATCAAGGGCTGTCGCACCATCGGATTTGCCGGTACGGATAAGAAAGTCGAATACTTGAAAAGCATTGGTTTTGACGAGGCTTATAATTACAAAACTTTGACTTCGTTAGAGGAAACTCTGAAGGCAGCATGTCCTAAAGGAATTGATTGCTTCTTCGACAATGTAAGTATTGCTTATAAAGGTAGCTTGTACTTTTTCTTTGAGCATGAATTGGCAAGGTAACTTATTTACGAAAACCATTGTTGGAACTCGTTGGTTTATTCAAAAGAAACCATTTTCGAAGATTAGAATATGTCTCATGTTACTTAAGCATATTTATTTTTACTTTTCACCATTTCACAATAAGATATGTCTCTCTCACATTTATTTGCAGAAGCGTCGTTGATTTCAGTATGGCTGTTACTCGTATTGATTATTTGATTGAGTCTTCATGACATTTTTTCTTATAATGAAGACACAAGTTTCACGGTAAATCTTGCATCAAGAGGTAATCTAGATTCCTCCTAAAAGAAAAGCAACTCTATAATGAAAACATGACAGAAGAGCAATTATGCTAAGAAATTCACGTGCATCAAAAATTCTTCCTCTTTCCATTCTAGTCTTTACCCTACCATTCTAATAACTTGGTCAGAAAAGCGAAATCTTTTTAGGCGAAGTTTACTTTTTATGTATCGCTTATTAACGTCAAGAGATTTTTAATGTGATAAGGAATCGTGCGGGTTTTTACGTTTTAGTGAGCGTTTTTTGCCTGAGGTCTTCATATAATTTAACAGAGAAGGTTACTACAATCAAAATTTCCGTTTAAGCTATATGGTTACACAGGGTCCCGAGCTACTGTTAACCGACCACAGAGAGATGTGCATTGGCATTGCCTTATGGCTTGTGGTCGATGCGGACAACGAGTTGAAGCTCTACCCCTTAACCACAAGATCAGGGCACAGCTACATAATCTCAAAACTTGATGCAAACTGAAATCACCTTAAAAACCTTACGGTGCACTTGATAGAATTAGTAACTGGTATTTTATTTGTCTCTGGGCGAATTTCGTACTTTTCTCTTTATGTATGTTTTCATTAAAGAATATGAATTCTTCCATCTAAAACTTTGGAAAACAATCAGTGGTTGCAGCGTAATTAATCGAGTTTAAGAAAAATGCATCCACAAAGGTTCCGTTTTCCTTGATCTCTACTTCAGAGAGACCAATGCGGTGCCAGCAAGTATTACGCAATTTGAAAACGAGCATCATATATCCGGAAACATAATAAACTCAAGTGCTTGGCATCTTTTTGCTTTCAGTTTTTGTGGACTACTCTGTCGGTATAAATCGACATAAATTCTTTTGCAATGATATGCGGAATGTCCGAAGTTTATTTTAGCTCAATTGGTTGATTCAAAAGTAAATAGATTCTTGAATTATTTCAGGCTGGGAACTACCAGGTGTTACTGCTCAAGCTTATCCTGCAAGCTATCACAATTGGTGTTCTTAGCAGCTTCACAACATATAGATTTTGAATTTAAGTCCATTTTGTCAAGAAAAAAGATAAATAATGGAAAAATCGAGAGTGTTTATATTATTTATCTTGAAAGGAGAATTGGCATCTTATAGACGTGTTTGACAAAGAGCTTTCTTTCATCTTGGGAGCATTCCAAATTTAGGTAACCTAAGATGTGAGAGAGATTGGTGCTTTCTCACGAAAATATTGAAAAGCTGCGGTCATTACTCATCTCACATGCGCCAAGTCTATTGTGAAAATGCAAAACGTGAGGCTTTGCCTCCTGGCTCCATTTGCCAGTTGGTGCAGTTCTCATCGAATTTTCAACATAATTCTCTCTATGAGAGTTTTTAATACTGCTTTCTCTGTGAGATTGGTTTGCTAAATCTGGATTGCCAACCGAAAATGAATACAAGGTTAAAGACACACAAAGAATTCAATTATGAAATCGTACTCTGTAGTGAAATGCTTATCCATTATTATCAGGAACGCATAACGACTTCAATTGGTATGAATTTATGCCGCTTTGAATAAGTAGCTTTCATTTGTATCTTTGATATTAATCTCAGCATTTCTGCTAGCTTTAACAGCTAGACCCTAATCTTGTCTACAACGGACAGGCAAAATGAAAGAAATGATGTACTGATTAGAATTTCAAATAAACAGTTTTTTGAGTTCATTCTAAACTCTCGAACTTTTCTGTCTGCCAAATCTAGGACTCCATTTTTCAACGATGATAATGGCTTTTGAGAGTGACACTGTCTGACTCTGAACTGATGGCGAGATAAAAACAAAATTGCGTTAAAAGAAAGAACCAAGTGCAAAGAAAAGTATTCGCCCTAAAGAAAACCTGTTGATGTATTTTCAACCGGTTGATAAATATTCTCCACTCCTCCGTTGACAGGGATTTTTCAATACAACTGTGAACAAACCATTATCATGTTGTGAACTGTGAATAGTGTAACACACTTGAATGGGCTGAAAGCAGAGAAATGTGAGCCATCATAGCAGTTAGGCGAATTTACACGAATCCTTATATCATTTCTAGCAACAGTTTCCAAGTAAATTGCATGGAAACAAGCTCGACACAGAGAAGATGTAACTGTTACCAAGAAACAGTTTTCGAAGCACCTTGGGTTTTCTCTTTCGGTTTTCAAAAAGCTGTAGATTTGGTTTTAAAGTGCTGTTAGGTTTTATTAATTTTGAGGAACTGTTTTTTTTGTCAAGCGAAAATTTCTAATGTGCGGTTTACACTAATTAAGTGTTTTTCACTGTATTTTGAAGGTTTGTTAAGCGAACTTTCCAAAGAACATTGTCGAGATGGAAGTCAACTTGTTCGACAAATTTCTCCCACAATCCTTATGATACCTATGAAAACTTGCCCTTTTGCACCGCTCTTATCTCGGAATCGATTGCAAAATATCGATCTTATGCGCTAAGGTTGTAAGGCGTTATTTCCGATGCTTCGTAATTTAGTTCCTTTGCTTTTTAGACCGAGATAGACCATGCGACTGTCTTGTAGGGCAATTTGGGAAAATGGGCTTATGCGCGGGTTTCGGATCCTTGCAATAGTTGCAAAAACAGGCGCGAGTCTGATTATTGATAATTTTCGTCTGTGCCAAAGTTTCCCTCGAAATTTGCGGTGATTTTTGCGTCGTTATTGCAGGGGAATCTGCGAAAGGAGGCGATCGGGTAGAGCAAGTTTGAATCTTTCCAGGCAACTTTCATATCGATGATTTCCTAGCAAGATGAAATTATGAAACTAAGATATTCTAACTAAAACCCCTCAATTAACCTCCTCTTTCGCAGCCCGTTTCTCGATGGAACAGGCTCTGTTATCCAAAACAAGATCTTCCTTGATTAGAGGAAGCTATTACGAGGAGAATGAGCGGTTGTTGTTGTATTTCTTGTACTTAACTAGCTTGCTAGCTTGGTTGTGTTCTGAGTATTATGATCTATTATTACCTCTCTTGCAGGTTGGTGGAACCTTCTTTGATACTGTAGTTGGGTTGTTAAACCATAGAGGCAGAGTTTCGTTGTGTGGTGCCATTTCACTATACAACATAGAGGGTGCGCCACCAAAGGGTAAAGTGATCATGCTTTTTATAGTTATTACCAGCAAACTGTTGGTTCAAATTCCAGCTGTATCTTTTGATCGATCGGCTGTGGAAGTTGAAAACTAATAGCAGTGTAGATCATGTAATGATTAAATTATAAAATGATTTGCTATGCTTCTGTTTTTATAGGTTTTTTGTCTTTAGACTTGGTCAGTTGTTTGAAAAGTGAAAAAACTTTTTATCAAAATCTAATATTCTCGAGCTCATCTTTAAAATTTTACAACTTTTGGGATGAGCTTTTGCATAAGCTCTAGAATTTTGGCAGGTCAATGCCATGTGTTGTCTTATGTTATGAGATTAACTTGCCGTTTACCTTCATTGACCCAACATTTTAAATAATTTCATTTCTTGTAAATTGTAAATGAAAGAACTTGCAGTTCCTTACTTTAGCGAATAAAAGAGCTCAGATGTGTCTATATACACAATCTTTTCGTGTCATTATTGCGTCGAAACAAAAAAATTTGTTGTTTTGGTCTATTTTTGTATTTCGCAATTTCGCTTAAATTTGAATTGCAATTAGGTTGACGCCTGTTCATGTGTATGTTAATCATCTGCTCTTATTTGTTGACATTTATTGTGCTATTTACAGGCCCCTACGTTCATATGTCTGCCATCACGAAAGAGTTGAAAATTGAAGGTTTTATTGTTACAAGATTCACCACAAAATATCCCACAGCTTTCGCAGATATGAAACAATGGATTTCAGAGGTATATTTGCTATTTTTAAACATAAATTATTTTGTTTGCTTTTCCAAAAATCAATTTAAACGTGAGATAAATTAGTTAATTCTCTTCAGTTCCATGATATACTTTTCTGCATGCAAGATGCACTTTTGTTTGAAAATTATTCTGTGGTAAATTTGAATTTTGTAACTCCTGCCAAAAATTTTGCTCACTTTGGTCACTATTGCTTTGATTGTGAGAAGAAAATACCTTTTTTAAGGGCTAACCACTGGTTGTCAATTTTTGTTTACAGGAAAGGAAAATCCACTTCATTTAGACATAGGCAATTATGTCATTTATAGCGACTGTGAATTTGCAATGGGAAAATATACCCGTTAAATTATTCTTAACTAAGGTCTATCTTTCTCGTTGAATTGGATTGTTCTTTGTCCGTTGGCATTGTTTCGGTTAAATCTTTATATTGCACTTGTATTAGGCAAGTAGATTTTGAGAATATGATATGTGGCCTATCTAAAGAACGCCTTTAGCTAATCGTCACAGAAGGCTGTTCAAGGCAAGATTTACAGCAAGACTTCTAAATATTAGAAATTTGACAATATTTTTAGATGCAGTAGACCAAACTAAATTCTCGGATAGTGAGAAGATAACGGGTCGCATAGAAGCATAAATAAAACAACATCAGATTATAAAAATCAAAACTCCTCTAAAGCAACCTTTTGTCATGAAACCTAAATTGTCAATTTATGCAAACTTCATGTCAAAATTATCCTTTCATTTTTATGGTTTTGATATGTAAGACGTTAGAAAGCTGTCAGGACTTGAGTAACTTGCTTCAATAATTAAATGTTGTATTGCAGGGACAGATAAAAGTGACTGAGCATATTGTTAATGGATTTGAGAACATGCCAAAGGCTTTTATAGGACTCTTTGACGGTGAGAATATTGGCAAGGCTGTTGTGAATGTTTGATTTCGCAAGGTAATGATTTATGATCGGTTTGTGGGGGATATAAATGTAAGAATGAAATTATGTAAGAATATGTATTATTTTGTACTGTATTGATGGTTGAAAGCATTGTATTAAAAAAAATATAATTCTTTAGATATATCAAGATTCTAGAGACACAATTTATTCATTAAACGAATTTTTATTTCATCCAATCTTAACAATATTTGACGGCAAACTTGCTGATATCTCGCAAAGAAAAAACTGTATGTCCAGCATACGAGGAATGCATGCATTCTCATTTAACATGGAGCCTGAAGGATTTTTATCCGCTTATACAAACTGGTATATATTAAGAAACTGTTGAATTTCTTCAAGCAGTCGTCATGGAAGTACTCACTCTGGCGCAAATAAAACATGAACTTAACGGCCATCTCTGTTAAGTTCAGCCTCTTTTTCCCACATCATACTCGTTATCAATTCCATCATTATTTCTACAGGGTTTAGTGTCTTGTCATCTTCTATAATCTATGTTATTTTTTGGTAAGATTTATGTGGGAAGTAAATTCTGAAGCATTCGCTAAAAGTTGCCTGAAAGTATTTGTACCACTATTGTCTACAAACCTATTAACCATTTTTTACGTTAATTGAGCACTTTCTTTTAGTTCCTAGCCTATAACAGCTCTGCTATCTCCCAATCGGAACCAGTTACCATATCTGAATTCCTACTCCGTTTCTTGCCAAGGCTGTTTGCGACTCAGCTTAGTTGCATTTTTGAAACAAAAAAAAAGACAGATATCTATGTTGTCATAGTTCCTTTTCTTTGAGAATGGCCGCGCAGATCGATCGACTTCGATTGACAAAAGGATCGACAGAATAGTTTCCACTTGCCTGTTAGTCGCTTTCGATCGACGTTGATCGGTAGGTAAACTGGAAATTGCATGTAACTGTTGTGTCAGAGTCCGGGGGGGGGGGGTAGGGGGTGCCCATGCCCTCCCACTTTTTGCGAAGCATGTAGTTAAAAAGCTGTAATAAAAGGGGAAGAGGCCTTGCTCCCTACGTTTGCTAACCTTGGCCCCCTCCCCATTTTCAAATTCGTGGCGTGGGCCCTGTGTGTTCTTTAAAAAATTTTGTTTTGTGTCTATTAGATCCAAGGCTAATATTGTTAGTTTTCAAAATCGCCTCTTGTAATCACCTTGTATGTAGATATCTAAAAAGAAGTATATTGAAAGATTGAACTGTGCATGTGTTGGTAAAGAAAGTTTTTATTAATTTTGCTCTCCTAGTTGATGGAGAAAATAGCGTTTTTGATCAGAAAGTATTACCCAGGAAGAAAAGAGTGGAGCGAACATCGTTCATTGACTAAAAGTAATCTATCTTGCTGTTTTTGTTTTGCTTCGTATTACAGCGATTCGTAAAGGAAACCAATAAATTAAATGTAAAAATCTTTCACAAAAAGCCAACGAATATGATATAAAAAGTAGAAAAATAGAAGTGGTACAACCGAATTGTGACACAAAGGTACCTTTGCCATGGTTAAGACTGGTATTGCTTAAAAAGCGCAGGCCTTCTCATTCAAAGTGTATATTTCCTGATTTTGCACCAAATTTATCAACAGTCAAGAAGGATTCCGTGGTATGTTATCTGCGCTTGTGCAAAATCGATCAAGGTCAATTAAACCTACCGCTTTCAATCTTAAATCTGAAAAATTCATATTCATCAAAACAGTAAATAATTTTAAATATTTTATATAAAATGTTTGATTTTGAATCTAAAACAAATAATCCCATATTGCTTATTGGTTTGAAAATTAGCTTATTGGTTCGAATATGAGAAAAATTACAGGCTTTATTGCAGGGGAAGACGGATTTGCTTTAAATTTAATTTGGTTGACGGTTTGTACCCCCAGCCTGAGCCCCCTGGGTATATTTGATCAGTAGCTTAAATCAGTACTGTAGAACAGTTAAACCAATTTTTTTTTGGGGGGGGGAGGGGAGTAATAAAAAGTCATGTTAAACTCACTCGCATAATTAAAGTTTCTTTTAACTTTTTTTGGAAATTATTGGGGTACCATGACCCCTTGGCTCTATGGCCCTATAAATACACAGTGACTTAGGAAAGGGGAGCAGGTACACAAGGAGGATATGCCCCATGTACTTGTGGAAGCTAACCTTTTAGTGTAATTTTCGGAGAAAGAAGTATGTGTAAAGAGAAAATATGTAAAAGTACTTTATAAAATATGATAATTGTTTATTACTTATCAGTCACAATCAACACAACCAAAGATCTGCTTAAAATTGGGAAACATTGTTTGTCTTGACAATTTCCTCTTGACAATTTATTGCTGAAGATTTTACAAACATCAGCATAAGAAAGTGCATTTATCTCCATTCTGCTCCATGGGGTAATCTTTGCCATTGGGCTACACAGAATCTAGAGCACAATTGCCCAATTACAGGGGCACCCATCCTGCCTCTGTCAAAAGTGTCTGCTGTTACTGTATGTGCAATTTTTCCCAAATCCAGCATCGTCATGCACTGAGCATATGACTGAAAGCAAGACTTTCCACATATGCAGTATTTTGCAAAGTCTAAATATTTAACAAGTGTCACTGGAAGTGGTTCATTTGCATAATTCATCCTAGAATGGAAAAAAATTTAAATTTGAAAACTACAGAAAACAATTTGAAAAAAATAGTTTCTGAAGCAATTATTGGAAACCATTCCAGTATGATTCTCATAAATTTCATCTGTTTTTAGGTCCTTAAATAGAAATGCTTGCATTTAAAAAATACTGCCTATGAACGGATTGTAAAACAACATGTTTTTCTTACACATTGATAGGGTGATTACCATTTATTAACTAGGATCAAATGATTGGTTATTTTAAAAATGAAGTTCCTTTTGTATTGTTTCTTCTACAACATATAATGATAGTTCACTCAAATTAGCATCAGCAGCAAGAGGACCAAGTCTTTTTCTGTTAGGGACCAGGAAAACTGCATCAAGAATCAATAATTTACAGGCCAACGAAGTACAATAGAAACATGGTAGAAATAATTAGGTGTAACAATAATGGATCACATGTATTAAGGAGTGAAAACTTGTAAAGCTACCTGAAAATAAATACACACGCCTGCCACATCTACAATTCATTGTACCTAATTATTTCAAACTTTTTAGATTTTTTCAAGAGCAAGGAGAGAAGGCTATCAGTTTTTAAAGAAAGGCAAACAACAGATATTGGCAGATTTACCTGGAATTTTTTATCATTCGTGCAGCAAGTTCAAGCAAAGTAGGCACATCTGCAAGTCTAGCCTTGGCAATGCTTTTGCTAAGATCTGCTTTCAACTGATTTCCAGATATATCTAATGAGTGCAGGGTTAAACTGGAAACTTCATAAGGCAATACCCTCAAATAGTTGTTTGAAATATTCAGGTACCTCAAAGATGTAAGCATGCCAACAGTGCCAGGTATCATACATATCATATTGTTGTCAATTTTCAAATTTACTAGATGCTTTAGCAATCCAATTTCAGTGGGAATTTTCTTGATATTGTTAGAACTAACATCTAATGATTTCAAATTTAGTCTAATTTCTGAAGTAAAAAGCATATTTGGTATTGATGTAAAGCTGTTTCCTGCCAGGTAAAGTTCTTTCATATTGACCAGACATCCAAAATCTTCTGGTAGTTCATTTAACCAATTATTTCTCAAGTCAAGTACTGACAAATTTTTTAGCTTTAGAAACTTGGTGTCAAATTTTATCAAGCCACAATCTCCCATAATCAGCTTACTAAGTGCAGGAGGTAATTCTTTCTTTGAAGTATAGTCTTCTTTGGATGTTATTTTTAGTTCTGTTTTTGTGTCATCTAGCAAACCTTTTATTGAATCAGGCTTATTGAAATCAAAATCTGATGTTTCTTCCCCTTTGCAACATAGTCGCATTGCAAGAACTAGCTTTTTCAGGTCACTTGAAATGGCCTACAAACAAGAAACACAAATTTATAGCTTTTTCAGCCAATAGACCTGGAAGAAAATATTATCAAAGAGAGAAATTTGGGCTTAATCTGGAAGCTGTATAGAAGAAAGCACTAAATTCTGACAACACTCTGTACCCTGCAATCTTCTGTTTTCCCATAAGACCAAACAGAAATATTTTAGGACTAAAGCATTTCTGCAGGATAATTAATCAAAACAAATTTACAAGGACAGCTGTCTATAAGATAACAAAAATATAACAAATGTGCCAATTAGTCTAGGACTTCTTGATTTAAAATCTATTTTGATTTATTTAGATAAATTTCAAAATTGAAGTAATGAAAAGTAAGGGTATGTCTATTCAATATATGGGGGCAAAAATGTGGAATGATTTACCAGTAGAAATAAGAAATTCTCCTTCAAAATATTCTTTTAAAAAAATCTTAAAACATTTTTACAAAACAACATAGTAATCAATGATGGTTTTTTAACTTAGTCTATACATAGATGATACTTTTCTGTGGAAGACTCAAAGCAACTCACAAATGATTCTCTTTTTACTTTTAGAACTAAAAATTAAACAGAACGCATCTAATTTACTAGGGGGTGCTTTCTCCTCGATTAGTTCATAAACTACTGAGAAAGTTTCCTCCTTTAAGAAATTCCCTGTGTACAATACTAGCTTGTTTCTCCTCTAACCTTTATTTGTTCTGTTATGTTTATATTAGTTAACTCCCTTTTATATTGTTTATACTTTTAAGCTTAGGTCATTCCTAATTTGCAACAAGTGTATGTATCCAGAGGAATTTAATATAAAACTGAACTGAACTGACGGGTGATTGTATTTCATTTTCTAAATTTCATTAAAATAATGCAAGACTAAGAGCTAATAACATGACACCAAATTCATAATTTGTTCAATGTAAAGCTAGGAAATCAGCATCTCTTTTTGTGGCCAGTTGATTAGATTGTTAGAATAAGCTATGTTACCTTTGAAACAGCAACGTCATGATGTGGTTCTTTAAAGCTAATTGTCATCTTTCCACTGTCAATGAACTTCGAAAAAACTTTCTGTACGTTATTTTTCAGCTATGAAAAGGAAAGTATTGCAATCATAATATATATAAATTCGACGTAAATAAGGTATGTATATGTTTTCAATAGGCCTACACTCATAGTGATTTCGTGGGTTTTTTGTGAGAGCTTGTATACAAGTTTCAGGCATTGTGTCCTATGTAGCAAATGATTTAAGGCTGTTTTGTCTATCAGTTGGTATTCGATCAACTTTGGAAGATCAACAAGAAAGAAATTTCGAGAAAAAAATTTCGGTTTCTAACCCTGTATTTGAATCCTGTTTTATGCTTGTTGTTGTATATAACAAAGTTAGCAGCTCTTGTCTTGTCTTTGTATATGGCTATTGCACCACGGCCAGGCTTGCTGTTGGCAACCTGTGACTGTGATAGGCGTGTTTTCACTTCTAATTCGCATTTGATCAGCATCTTGAAGCCGGTCGGACAACATCAATTCGCGCCCTTTTCACCCTCCTTCAAAATACTTTGGGTAGCCTCGAAATCATCGCGAGGGTAAGTAGAGTTGGTCAGTTCCTGAACTGAACTTAACAATAAAACAATTTTCCCAATGATTCACAGCATTACTCAAATTAAGTTTCTACAGATTAAGCCTGTCAAGTAAAACGGTCATCTTCTGAGCAGTCTATAACCGCTAGCTGGGTAAAAGATCTGCAGCAACGAAAGAGTAGAGACTAAGAGCTCAGGTCTTCACTAGCAGCTGCCCCCACCCAACCACTACCATCTAACAAAACTCAGGCAATTAACATCGTAAATCATTACCCCTATAGTAGTCAGAGGTTGACCTCTGACCAAGATTCTTGGTCCAAGAAAAAGGCAAATTTACTCTGTTTAGTGTATCTTTTAGGACAGGGGTAGCGACAAAGTGCTTTTTGCTTTCTAGCATGAGAAACAAATGATTTTATTCGGCGCTATAAATGATATCATGACAATTATTCTTTGAATAAAGGTATTACAGATGCCTTATAGCTGTATACTTTTTGCCGTTGGCGAATAGAGACTGAAATTTTAGAGAAACTAGGGTCTCTATGCGGAAAACCTTTAAATTTCACTCCATTTATATTTGTAGAAGACGTAGTTTAACACTTTTTTCGCACATATTAGTCACTGAACTGAATCGATTGATTTATCTTTTTTATGATCAAAACTACGGGACATATAGGGGGTTCCGAGATTGGTGAGGTTGTTGTGCCCCTCCTTTTTTAGGAAGCCCTCAATAAATTATCAAAATATTATCATCAAGAACGTAATTTCATGAAATTATAATAGGATGAAGAGAGGGCTGCAGCTTTTGCGAACAGTCGGTATATGATCGTTTGACTCTATATCTTCGCAGCATTTGGAACCTCAAGTTTAAAAAGCTTCTTAATGTTTTCTCTTGATTATGTTTCATTGCTAAACCATGCTCTATTTCTTGTGCTTAAAAGTTTATTCAAAAACTTTTTTATGACAGAATGAGACATAATTACGACGAAAAGGCTATGAATGTTGCCTAGGATAATCCTTATTCCTAGATGAATATTTCCGACGTATTTTCTAGGGATGTAATAACATTCTAGGGATGACCAATTTTCAAATTTCCCCTCAACCAACCCTCACAAAACTCTCATCAATAGTGATAACTCTGATAATAATTGCTGTGCAGGGCGAAACCAAAACAGTACTTAATATGCAGGTGAGTTTTGATAACAAATTCATACGATTTAAACTTCCATTGCAATTGGTAAATTTCCATTGCTACGCCCCCTCCAACTTACAGGTCCTTCGGCACACCACTGGGACCATGTCATAGCCATAAAAACTATGATCACGGCATGTCCTTAAACCTCCTAATGGCTTTTGATATTATTACTGTAAAAGCTCTATTAAGCCCCCCTCTCTATTAAGTCCCTCCTTATCAAGCAAAAACATTAAACAAGCCCCACTCACTATTAAGCCCCCCCCCCTCTTTAGCCTTTGATGTCAATAGCTCAATAGAGCTTTTACGTTAATCATGGTATTCTTTTAGAGAAGCTTTCTCGCTTTGGTTTTAGAAGTTTGATTCTGGATGGTTTTCTAGTTGCCATGGTGGACTTTTCAAAACCCTCTCGCACACAGCAAGATGTCAGAAAATGTCAGACAATAAACAAAGGGGGGTATCACAGGAATCCTGTGCTTAGTCCTCTAATTTTTAAATCTTTTGTTAGTGATATTCAAATAAATGTAAATAGCATCTGTTTTTGCTAATGACACAATGACGTTAAGTTTTGCAAAAATTGATGTAAATGCCTTAAAAAGTGTTAGAGAATATGCATTTCTGTCTCCCATTATCCAGACACCAATCACTTTATCCCAAAGCCGATCTCTCACAATCCTTTTAAAAGGCACACCTAAGTTTAGCAAAGAGTGAAGCAATGAAATTCTCAAATATTTTAACAAAATTGAGATTTGCCTGAGTCTTGTCTACTCACGTTGCATTACTCACGTTGTATTTTCTATCACAACTCCTGCTTTTTCGTCTGTAAATCAAACTTTCTCTTTCGACTTTGCTAATATTTGCAGCACAAAAGATAATTTCTTTTTTTGCAAAAATTGCCTTAAAAAATTCTAGGCTTGTGTCCCTTCAAGTTCTTGAGTACCCAGATCCTAAACAGTCCAGAGATCTCTCCCCTTTGGGCCAATGGCATTCTAGCTTGCAATATTACATGCTAGCAATTTCCACCAACCCTATCCATATGGCACCATATTTTTTGGAATTTATTTGAGCCGAGAAATTGCCTAATGGACAATCAAATAAGATATTCTGTGATCTTAAGTTAATATCAGGAATAGAGCTAGGGGGCTCAGGGGGCTGAGCCCCTCTTGTTGATGTCCAAAATTGGCCAATTTCTTCTTTTGCTATCGTTTTTCGCAATATTTTGTTTTTTTATTTTATCATCACAAAAATACAATTATAAAACTAGCAATTAACACAAAATAAATGTTAGTGTGCTGAATTAAAGGTAAGAAACATGCGTTATCGTGCCACCTCTAACCCAACACAGTAAGTTAAATTATTAATTTATATAAAAAACTACACAGATACCAATAACAGCACAGACAGAGATTCAACTTGATTTATCGTACGACGAAATTCATCTAAAATGGTTTGTGTTAACTAAAAACTTTACAGTAGCATCTAAAATCATTCTATTAGCTATATCATTGACTTTTAGACTGCCGAAAAGTAATGAATTGCATAAATGTTCGTTAGGCAATTGCATCACATTACTATTGAGTATATCTGATACTTCACCAAGCAGAATATTTCTATGAACTAAATGGAGTTGGCAATGCAAGAAAAAATGAGTTGTGGATTCGACTCCTTCCTTACAATCGCAAATGGGACTTGCAAAATTATGGTAGAACCTATGCTCATTCAGATCGTTAAAATGTACTCGAAGCCTCGTTATGTGTGCTGAGTGATGCCTGGTAGCGATTTCGTGCAGAGATTTTTTTGCTGGCCGAATTATTGATAATAAGGCTGTTTTGAACTGAGATATTGTCGAACCAATGTCGAACAATTTGGTGATCGAGTTTGTTCCATATGTTCACACAATAGGAAAAGAAAATCTTCGAATACCTTTGTGAGGATGAATTTTCGTATCTAAAAACATTTGTATGGCGGAGTTGATAATGATTCCTGTTCTCATCAGGGACATACTCACGTAAATATTCAGGAGTCTGGTTATTCACAAATTTTATAAAAGAGACAAAGTCTGCGGTACCGCCTCCTGTTACCGAGCCTTGCCCAGCCAAGTTCCTCAAGAAGTCTGTCCGTGTTGGTACCCTGCCATGCTCCACTAGCTGCCAAAGCTGCCTCATATTGTATGGATTCAAGTTCACGAGAAAGAGACATATTTTGGTTATGATAGATTACGTCCCCACGATCCTAATGTGGTCTTACAAATAGTTTGCACATTTGATCAAGTGTCTCCCGTGAAGCGTATTTAGAAAGAAAACGGATGATTCCTCTTCCAATCTTTGCTTTTACAATTGCCGCCCTAACATGCTCAGAGAACTTAAGTTTCTCGTCCAAAATTAATCCTAAATGCTTGTGACTATTTACAACATTTATTTGATAATCATTGAAACTATGCTTTCGATGCTGCCTTCTTGGCGGGTAATTTCTTCGCTGCTGGTTTCTTCGCTGCTGGTCTCTTTGCTGCTGGCTTCTTTGCAGTCTTCTTTACAACCTTTGCCTTCTTTGGCGATTTAGCCGCCTTTTTCGGGGTGTTATTTGCCTTTGGCCTCTTTGGTGATTTCTTCGCAACTGGTGCCTTCTTTGGTTTTGCTGGTGCTTCCTTCTTCACGAGTCTGAATGAACCTGATGCCCCAGTGCATTTTGAGTGCATGATAACACCAGCGATAACACCATGTTTGAGCGTCAATTTCAACTGGGTATCTGCATTGGCACCAACTTTGTAGTGTTCTTTGATGTACTTTTAACTCGCTTGTCTTGAAGTTCCCTTTCTGTCCTTGAGCTTTGCCAACGCAGCTTTGATCATGTCGATGTATCCAAATCATCGAAACCCTGACCTGAGATCTGATGTGGAACAGAATCCTTGTTATATTATTCAATAGTTTTTCATAGTTTGTAGCGTAGTTGTAGTTAGTTTTCCGTTATGTGTCTTTCGTACATGTTGTGTTGAACAGTAATTAGATAGGTACTGTTAAACGTAACGAACATTGTAATTTTTTGAAATTTGAATAAAAAACAGGCTTATTCGTTTCGAAGTTCTAATGTTCCCTTCTACTTCTTCAGTAGCCTGTGGGCTTGGCCCTCAGAATCGCTCACTTCGCTCAATAACAAGACTGAAGATGGTATTCTTCCTCGTTTCGACCATGGGTCATTTGCACAAAATTTTAAAAATCTATATACGTCCCAGGTACCAAAACAGGGAACCTTGTAACATATCAAAGGTGGGTTATATTTATCGTAATCCAGCTTTAAATTTGCCAAGGATCTTTTCCTGGATAGATATTAGCCTACCTTCACTGACGAACCAATGTTACATTCGAGGTTGTCCCTCAGCAGGGTTGTGCGCAGTGTTTTGCGCATTGGATTGCCATCTGCGCAAAATTCAAACACGAGAAAATCTCTTCAGTGGAATATTTTCAGTGATGGTATACAAATTGATTTAACAAGAAACTATCTTCAGAGCTGCAGTTAGGGGAAGGGACTGATCTAAGAATAGTTATGAACATATCCTCTTGCAGGAGTGAATACTAAGCTCAGCGCCATGGTAAGTATCGTCTGCGATATCTTTGTGCTTGAGTTGCTTCAAAAACAAAAACAAAGATTTGCATTTTACGAGGGAATCTTTTCGTTAACCCTAATGTACCTGTTTCATATTTATATCATTTTCAGATCAAATGTATAATCTCAAACGCTAGTTTATCCACAAAACGTTTGAGGCTACAAGATAAATATTTATTCTTGTTTTCAATTTTAATCTAAATTTGATCGGTATTGAGATACGTTACTTCTGGTGAGCAGAATTTCTTAGTGGCTTAGATAAGAGGTGCAGAAATATGTTTTGTGCGAATTCTAAGCTTTTTCAATGTTTGATTTTTTTCTATACATCAAATTTGTGTTGTAGTGTTACTATTATTTGTTTTTTTTTAATTGAGGTCAAAATAACGTTGACATGATGGTATCTTGATGCACGAACTCTAATAACAATTATTATCGTAAGTTCTGAGGACATTCTTAAAATTATATATTGCTTACGTAAGAATTCGATATCCTTGCATTAGATATCATGTTGATCTATTTCTGCTGTATGCAAGTAATCTATGGTCAAGTTCCCACTGTAATTGCTAACCTGAATTTGCTCAAGCTTTGGCAAGTCCAGGCATTTTACAATTTGCCATCTTATTTATAAATTAGGCATTGCTAATTTTATTTTTTTCAATTCCAATCTCATCATAATAGTTTTTACTTGCTTTCAAAAAAATAACACACATTCAGAAGACAACTCTTTCATCTAGTTCATTAATATTTAATATTTTCAAGTTATGTTCATTTCAGAACATTCTTTTCCTAGCTGTTCTTATTCAAAACTGTTCATGTAAGCTTAAACAACTGCTTATAATTTTTAGGGGATACTTAACAATGCATATTTTCTGAAACATTATTACCAGAACAGATAAATGTATAACCCAGTTTTCCTCTTGAATATATGGTTTCCATGTGTTGCTTGAGTGATCATCTGTTACAAGCTTGTGTCATTAAAGGGACAAAGCTCATAAATAGATGATTTATTTACTTGCAAATAAACAGTGAGATGAATCCACTAATTGTTTTTTGCATCTCTCAATTTGAATTGTTCACCTTGTATTTAGGAACTTGAGCTAAAATTGATAGTGTCCATGTAGGTTAAATTCAAATGTTACAAAGTTATTTTCAGTTCTTTGTATCAATGTATCATATTCTTCATTAATCAGTTGAATTTAAAAGAAATAGTTGATCTAGTAGTTTTCATATATTACCATCAGAAGATCAATGTATATAAATTCAAAATGGTAATGAAAACTAGCAACTGAACTGAGCTAAAATGGTCTGTGCTGATTTACTTTTTATAAGCGACAATTTGTCCAATCACCCAGAATGAATGGTTTGTTTGCAAAAAGAAATGGAAAGCTCCTTTTTCTATAAGCTTTTTTCAATCCACCTCTCTCAAATCTAGCACTTAAGCAAAAATTTTCATACTTGATGTTAAGGGCACAAACTGTAATCGTTTATTAATGATTAATAATTTATAATTTATTTTGTAAGTTTGCAAAACCACTGGTTTGAATCCAGATTTTTCCATCTTCCTCTATTTTGAGCTTTTACTTATCACTTGAAATTATGCAAAGAGACATTTTTTGTGAAGCTAGATCAAGAACACATTATATGTTTTGAAAATATATTTGATGTGAATCATGAAAAAGTGAAATATGAAAAAGTCAGTCTTTGAAATAAAATATAATTATGAAACACTCTGATACAGGGCTGTCTGTTCACAAAAATTAAACTCCTATTGATTTTTTTGCACCGTTGAGCTTCTTGATTGGGCTAAACAAACTTTAAAAACCCTTCAAAAGTAATATGAGCATTACTTTGTGAGAAATATAAAAATATTCTGTTTGCTTTTCAAAAATTTTAGAAAAAGTCTGTAAATCTCTTTTGTTGTTTGTGGCTAAACCATCTCTTCTGCAAAATTATTTTTAACTTCATCAACTATTTGTTTTGAGTATGATATACTCTATAACGCAACTTACAAAATCATGTTTTGTGAATTTTGATTAAAAAATACACTAATTATAGTTTTTTGTCTGTCTTGTTGAACAGAAGTATTGATCAGTAGTGAGCAAATAGACAATTTCTCAATCATTTCTAGCATGGGAATTGGATTTTAAGAAATTACAAATAATTGTTATTTGTTGAAATTTAACAGCTGCAAGTGAAAGTTCCCTTTGACCTGTTCAACACCTGCATTCATAATTAAAGAAAATCCCTTTATCTGTAAATGGCTACCAAAAACAATGATCGTAAAGTACATTAAGAAAAACAGATAAAATTTAGCTTAAAAGAAATCCTTAGCTGGATTCTGCTTGGTCACGATTATGACCATACCTTGGTTACTTAAGTGCTTTGTGTAATTCTTTAGACCTGCCCAGAAAAAAATTGCCACTTAGCTTATGATTAGAGAAATTGCTCTAATCAATGTGCTGTCCAAAGCTTTTGAAAATCTCGTCACAATTAAGGATTCATTTTGATCCCGTTTTTCATGTTGCTAGGTGACCAACTGGGCTACTTTATATTCTCCATTTGTGGCCTTAGGACGCCACAGTCCTTGCCAGAATTGTTTGAACACCTACGCAAAATCTTTATGGTTTTGAAGTTTTCTCCCCTTGCCCATTACAATGTCGATTAATATCAATATTCATGATTTTCGGTGACAATCTACAACTACTGCTCAAAGCTTTGGAACACTAACGTCAGTTTTCAATAGCAAATTTAGCGTTCCCCCTTTCTTCCTGAGAACAATGGTGAATTTTTATATGACGACGTAAAAGAGAAAGAAATTGAGATACATTCTGCGATTGATTTGAATTATGTTTGGGGTTGCATTAAAATGAAATGAAACAACAGAAAAATACGTTGCCAATTGCTCGGTGTTCCAAGTTATTTTTGGAGACATATGAAATGAAATTTCACACATAGTTTTTTTGAAAGAAATTTAGACTTTTACATTTTCTTGCAATATAAAACGATAATTAACTCGAAATTTTGCACAGGAAGGTTTGTTTTGGGGGTTTTAAAAACAATGAGTGCAAGTGACAAAGCATAAGAATCAGTGACGTCGCAAGGTGTGCAGTTGGTTCCGTACCACTTCAGGACAGTCGAACAATTGTGCAAATTGTGATACCAGACCAGCATGAAATTTTGCAGAAAGAGGTAGTTTGATACGCAGAAAAAGAAAGATATGGAACCCAACTGAAAATTGCCCCTTTTGGATATTTTTAGACCGGGGTTCTTTCCCCAAGGCCCCTAACGGCGTTATTACAATATATTTTCTGAAATTAGGTACAAAAGCACGAAACTCTGCAACAGAGGGCAGTTTGATAAGGTACAAAAGATAGGATAAAGAACCTAACTGAATATTGCCCCTTTTTTCTATTTTTGGACTGGGGTACTTAGCTCCAGAACCTTTAAATACGGTGTTATTGCATCTCAATCGTACTTTAGTACTACAGCACGAAACTTTGCAATATAAGACACTTTGATACGCTGAAAAAGATAGGATATAGAACCCCATCTGAAAATTGCCCCCCTGTTCTATTTTTAAAACTTGAGTACACTGCCCAGACCTTAATAGACGGTATTATCGTATTTTAGTCGTACTTTGATACAACAGTATGAAACTTTGCAAAAAAGGACATTTTGCTGCGTAAAAAAAGTTTCGATATGAACCCTGACTTAGAATTGCCCCTTTTGGCTATTTTTTTAACGGTAGTTCTAATAGCGAACACCATTCTGCTTAGTGTTCTAAGCGCCAACTGCTTCCGTGTTTGCAAACTTTGTGACGTCACGGATAACGCGCGTTTTGTCACTTTCGAAAACGTGAAAATAGGATATCCAGCCTAAATTTTTAGATGGTTCTGCAAGAAAAAAATCACCTCAATATTTATCATTGAAGTCAACAAATTTTGCTTATTAAAAGTGTGACTTTCTCTAAACGTGTCAAATTTCATGTTATATGCACTTTAACAATTCTTATGAAGGAATCGACATTGTAATGGGGTAGGGGGTAATTGCGCGATAGCATTGATAACCTGCGGGGATGTAAACCCTCAATAGCGTCAATATTGTGGTGTTCCAGTTATTCTTGAACAGGATTGAAGTTTCGTTGAGTGGATCTTTATTGCAACATTGCTTAAGAGTTATAGGCAGAAAATGTGAATCTTCTACCTGGTCTAGTTCCACAGATTGCCACAGAAGATATTTGAATGCGAACAGAAACATCTGTCATTGCCAAATCTTGTTATCTAACAAATATGGGCAGTAGCCTGTTTTTGTCCGGAAATCACTAAACTCTCGCAAAAACTTAAGCACAGAGGTCTGTTTCTTGTGTCAATGAGATCGTTTATAAGGCATGCAGAACAGCAAGCAATATCTTCAAGCCTAACTTCACCTTTCTATGACGCTACATTGGGAGAATCAATCATATTCATATAATTCAATGGTTTTAAAAGCAGTTTTTTAGTTTCGCTGTAGTTTACGTCTAATTCGAACATAGCAGCTAGGACATGCGCAGCGAGTAAGAGCGATCTAGAGCCGAAAAAACTGCATCCAACTGACTAATCTTCGACTATCAGTTTCTTTGCAGAGAGAGTCGGTGGTGAAGTTGAAAGCAGCCATCTGTTTATAAATCATCACTGTTAGACTGAATTGAATGTTCTAACTAAAAAGGCAAAATCTCATGTTTCCAGCCGTCGCTCGCTGTTTGAAATAGCTGAAAACTAAGATAATTATCAGAGTATTGTAAGCTTTAAGCCTCGGGAGGTATTTTTGGAAACTTTTTTATCAGATTGTTCCTATTCTTCTCATGCTGCTTTCTCAAGCGTCCATCATATCTCTGTGTACAGTCCTTTTACAGGTAGCTACTACACATTGTTTTGTAAGAATCTATTTTGTAAAAAGACGGCCAAAATAAGAATTGGGCAGATGTTGAGAGCTTAGAGATTAATAGTTTTATTTTCTATATGAAGAAAGTCTCACCATCTAGCTGAGACATGCACAACATGATGACCTTCGAAATAGATACGTGCTTCATCCAGTCCCTGAAAGCATTAGCACAGTTAAGAGAAGCAACTTTTATTCATTGATGTTAGTATCCCAGTTTTTGTTTAAAAGAGAGTGTCAATACAGGCTCTTGAGAATCTTATTTGAATGAAATTTCAGCAGAAAAATCTACTTGTTTCCATAGAATTTGGCTATCAGAAACCCTGTTTCTTATTCATCGAGTTCTTGTGTACTGTTTTAAAAGCAATTAATAGCCGAGGCGAAGCCTTGTCTTCTTATACTGCATGGCTTTCGAAATTAATTTCAACAGTTAAAATTTGATCCTTCATTTTTTGGTAATGGTATTTCTAAACTTCAATACAACAAAAGTTTATTAATTTACGTGAGAAATTTCGTTTATAACATTCGGAACTGCCGCGTAACTTTGAAATGTCTTTGCAAAATTGGCTCATAACGGATAGAGACAAACTTTAACATATAAAATTTCGATATGTTACAGAGCAGATTAGAAGCAATATAATTTTATTGTATTCACTTTAGTATTAGAAGTACGAAATGAACATAAATTGATATGCAAAATTTATTAAACGACCGATAGTAGTATCGCAACATCAGTGAATGCAGATTTACAGCTGGAATGCCAATAAAGTTCTAAATACACCTTTTATTAAGGGTAATGCTTCAGAAAACAGCAACACAGTAAAAAGCTGATAAAAATGAAGCTGAAGATTGAGAATCCTCAGGCTGATTTTTTTGCAAATCAAGCACCTTTATTATTAGAAAAGCTAAATGAAAATGTAGGAGCCATTGCATCCTTTTACACAAAACAACAGGTTCTTGTATGTGGGTTTTTGAGTATATACTTATCTAGAAAATTGTCATTGTATGATTGGGAAAGATCCAGAGTTTCATACCAATTTTTCTCAGGATACCCTTTTACTGAATTTACTTCACGTATTCCCATTAAATACAATATTCTTACCACATATTATGTAATTTGTTGTGAAAAAACGTCATGATTTAAAGACACATGTGCATATGATGCAAAAATGCGACGCCAAAGGACTTTTGAACCTATGCTGGCTCGTCTCCCCAACAAGTATCTGACATCAAAGTATATTTCTAAAGAACAGCTAAAGTTTTAAAAAAACAAAAGCTAGAAGCATCTGTTTTTCAATACTTTTGGCTGTGATTAATGAAAGTGTTTCGTAAAAATAGATTGCATTAACTACAGGAAATCTCTATTGAACATATTTCCAAGGTCGTTGTTGCATTATCAGTTCCTTCTGCTTTCGGAGGTTAGCGAGTTGCACAACCTCTCTACAGTCGGACAAATGAAACTGAAAGACAGGGGCGTCGCTTCATCTTCAAACGATTAATGCTGTAAGAAAACGACCCGTACCCAGTTGCTCTGATTAAGGATTGCACAGTGTTTTAATCAGCTGCCTGTGGCAAACTAGCACGGATTCTACGCAATTAGAGAAGAGTAAAGAAGAAGTTGCAAAGCGCAGCTGTATTTAGAAAGGTGCAAAACCGCTGATTTTCTACATCGTACATATTTACGGCACATTGTAATATGCAAAGGCTAATCATTCTAAAGAGATCAAGACTTCAGCAAATTTGAGCCTTTAATAATGTATTTATACTAGACAGCTTTGCCAATTGCAGATGTCATGTCACCATAATGCACAACAGCTTATGCAAAGTAGTATTGTCAATAATACAATTTCTAGCCCCATATCAACCTCAGCTCTGCACAGGGATATTGGAAACTTTGAAATTTTATTGTCAATGCGCCTCTTAAGATTATTAGTTAGAAAAGTCTACTAGCCAGAAGTACGCTCTGCAATACAAAAATTGAATTCGGAAAAAGCCACTGCATATTAAAGTGAAATAATTGCAAAGCACTGCATCGTGTATACCACTGCGTGTACGATGCACATACTTTATGTATAGTAAGACAGCTCAATTGACAGTGCAATCTGCAGAACTTTGATGCATCTCATTGTGCCTAGCCTAACACTATTTAGTGTAGCATTGCATACCGTTGACAATTTGTGTATGGGATGCCAGTAAATCACACTTAGTTTAAAATAAGATATGATTACAATTAGGGTATATGATTTAAGACTTGATTACGTGGTAAATCATCTTGCCTGTAGATTATATTTCAATACACTATTAGGATTTGAACGAACGAGTTGAAGAATGAGTTGATTGAAAGATAAATAAGCTTCAATGTGATAGACAGAATCATTTTTAATAGAATAAGGTTTTCAACGATTGCTTTTTATTCCATTTAGATTGTATGTTGGCTTCGTAGTCAGTCATCTTACTTGCTACCCTTTGAGATTGCTTATATTTCAATTATATGGGGAAGTACCACGGTTGTAAGGGGGTAGTGTTTCACTGGCAGATTGGGTGGAGTGATGGGTGGGTGTGTCACTGGTCCATATGGCAATTAGGGAATGAAACAATTTTCTGGAAAAAATTTAGCCTATGAATTTGAAGACGTTACAACAAAGAATTGACAAGAGCAGCAACTCGGTGGAAGTAACAGATAAAACTTGACAAATATGATAAAACACAATAGCGAATGACTAAATTTTTCAACCACTCCTTGCAAAATCGTTAACTAAAAAGAGTCTATACATAATAATACAAAAGAAAGGGACCTGGCTCTATTAATTTTTTAGTCTTCCTGACGGTCGTTGACCGCGATGTTTTATGGGCTCTGGTTAACAGGTAGACCAGTTGGTTTTGCATGAAAGAGTATTGGGTAAACATGAAAGATGTGATCATTATAAAACAGTTTACGTTGGAGCCTGGATATAGTTTGCACAGTCACATAGACTGGAAATACTTATTGTCATGTAGACAATCTGAACATCGACAAACAGATTATTGGATTTTATCAGGCTGTAAGGAATCAACCTGTTTGGCTGAATATCTGAGTTGATAGGCTATTTTTTAGAGAAACTGAAGGAGGTCACCTTGCGTTAGAGGTTACTGAGAAAAAACGAGTAAAAAGTAGAATCAGCAATATTTACTGCTTTAAGACCAAAAAAATCTATTGCAATGACTCTTCATGAAGAGATGCAGAAATATATAACCTGCAGCACTTTGACATGATATATAAACTGCGAAAAATTACAATGTCGAAACAGGCTTATTTTGTTTGTCAATTTTCCATCGAATTGACCTTTCCGTCTTGGCAAAAGGTTAGGAGTTGACAGAAACTGCATTAAAATTTCTTTGCGTTTTTTAAAGTTTGAGAAAATCTTACACATTTTTCTTTTTCAGTATGGCTTTGTTATCAAGTCCCTTGAAGTACTCATTGTTCAGAGATTTGGTGAGGAGACTTGGCAGCGTGTCCAGTAAGCATGAATTATTCGCATGAAATTATACTGTAGGGTGGCAGTGTCATATTCAGCTCCTACGTCATGGGATCATACTCCTTCATCCCTTTAAAGATTGTCCTTCTGTCTGAGAGCGCACAAGTCTTATCGATAACGAATTTCTCCATCCAACTTGGAACTTAAGTGGACTTGAAATTATGAAAAATGTGTGCGTTTTTTCTTTCATTCCTCGCAACTTTTTCGCAGCTTCCTAAAGCAGGATAAAAGGGCATTTAATATTCTGCTAAATGTTTTATGTCAACGTTTTTGGTTTTCTGTGCTTTTGTGACATTGAGCTTTCGAATAATACTTTCGTGAGCAAAGAATCTAGGCAGACTCATTTATACTGAAGTTGTTCTCTTGTAACTTGATGTGCCACAACTTTATTATAATAATTCTTGACCTACAGCAATTGACCTACTGGAGAGATTCAACTAACCAGATAATAATTTCAAATAAAACCATAAGCCACTCAGTTTCGAATCCAAGAATGCGATTTGAAGCTATAGATTCTAATACGGTTATAGAAGAGTTACACCAAAAGAGATATCATTTCTGTTATAAAATTTACTTAGGCTATCCTTTGTCTTAAACATTTAAACGGTATCCTTGATGGTATTTTAAGGATTTTGTCCTTTTTCTTTAAGGCAAGCTGCACATTCTGATGAAATCCAAGAGAGATATATTTATGATGACGAGAACTTCTTTGCATTAGTTGATTCGGCTGCCGAAACTTTGGGTAATATTTATAAAAATATTGTTTGATTATATCTTTTAATCTCGATTTACGTGACTCAAACAACCTGTACAATGTTTCAAATTTCTTGCGAATGAATCTTCCATGTGGTTTTCCTAGTGGATTTGTTTGCATTTTTTTATTAAGACTCTCCACTAGATTTCTTGAAAGCTTGTGCAACCCTTACGAAGCTATGTGAATATCTCGAATGAATGTAGAATGTAGAAGAGTCTAACTTTTAGGCCAAATAGTTTTCCTCGTTTCCTCCGCTTAAAGGATCTGCAATTTGCGAGCGTCAAGACTTCAGAAAGCATTTTGGGTTGCTGGTACAAGGTTTTTTTCTGGGAAGTGTTACTTTTACCTTTAAATTGTCACTTTTTAAAAGTTCTTGCAAATTGTGCCAATTTGGTCTTTTTACAAATTTACATCCGTATCTGTGTCCTTTAAGTTATTTGAAGGCATTTATAGCTTCATACCAGACGCAATTTGAAAGCGATGTTCTGTCGTCGTGTCAAGTTAATGTGTTGTAAATCATTTATTCACTGCAGGGTTGGAGAAGCAAGTTCTTTTGGAGCATTTTGGCGAAAGCTTCTTCAAATTCTGCTTAAGTTCCGGCTATGACAGAATTCTGAGGAACATTGCAAGAGATATGCGCAGCTTCTTCTGTAGTTTAGACAGTCTCCACGATCACCTCGCTACAAGGTATCCTGGAATGCGCCCACCCTCTTTTCGGGTGTTAGACGGCCCTGAAGAGAATTCTTTGGTCCTTCGATACACGTCAGAGAGAGCTGGTCTTACCCATTTCGTGATTGGTGCAGCCAAAGCAGCTGCTCGTATTCTATTTGATATTGATGTTCAGCTAAAGCCAAAAAGAAATAACAATGATTCTGATTATATAGAGTTCCTTATCATTCAAACTTCATCAATTGGCGATGATTGCTATCGTTTCAATCGACTTACGGAAGATAAAGGAGGTCTTACAAATGACAGTGAAACTGAACTGGAGTCAGTCATTGATCCGGTAACATTTTGTCAAGCATTTCCATTTCACGTCATATTTGATCGTGATCTAGTTATATGCCAGGCAGGGGTCTCTCTCGTCAAGGTCGTGCCAGATCTTGTTCCGGGAGTTTCAAAGTTCCCTATTGTCTTTAGCCTTGTACGTCCTCACATACCAGTGACGTTCAACAATATACTTTCGCGCGAAAATGCAGTATTCATCGTCAAAACACGAGAGGGCTGGATGAAGAGGCCTTCGTTGCAAGAGGATGGCAAGTCTCTTGATTCTGAAGACTCTAGCGAGAAGTCTTCAAGTGAAGAAAATGACGATGATTCGCTCACTGAAAATGTGCTTGGAGAAGATAAAGCCCTTAGACTGAAGGGTCAGATGGTTTTTCTGCCGGAGTCTGATACCATACTCTTTTTATGCTCTCCAAGAATTCTAAGCTTGGACAGCTTAGATGAAAAAGGTACATAACACCAAATGTTATCTTATACCCTAGCAAGCCCGATATCAGAACTAAAATTTATTTCCTTACAAAGTTTCGTTGTTCTTAGCCACATGAATCCTAAAATTAAGGATTCGATATATGAAGCTTCTACGAAAATTGAAAAGATTTTGAGAAGATACGAAACTGACCCTGCTAATAACGTTAAATCATACATCCTCTTTGTATGTTTATGTCCGTTTGCTGTGAACCTCGCATACAAGAGCCTGGATTTTCAAGAACTTGCAAGCTGAATTTTTGGAATTAGACTCTTGAAATAAATATCTACAAGAATTGTTGTCTTTCTCAAACCATTGCATCATTATTGACTAAATACTGTAACAATCACATGTAACTTTTGCACATGTAATTATCTTCAACAAAATTCTAAATGAGCACAATGGCTTCAATCTTGAATTAAATAGCAATCATAAACAGCCTCGTTTCCTGTTCAATGACCGTTATAAAGGAGTTTCACAAAGATCCTCGTTTCCCCAAGTTTATCAAAAACCAGAAAGCCTCAATGCCACACCTTAAAAAAGTTAATAATTTCTTTACATTTTGTCGAAAGTTTATCATTTCGTCTTCTCTACGTTGACATTGAATCTATCCAAATTGCTTGCCGGCATCTATCTAACTGTTGTTTTTATCTTAACTTTAAAGGAATGTATCTAAGTGATATTCCTATACATGATGCCACAAGAGACCTCATACTCATATCCCAGCAACACAGTGCTGAGCACAAACTCAAGAAAAACCTCGAATTAGTGACAGACATCTTACAACAAACCTCAAGGGAACTTGAATACGAGAAGAAATTAGCGGATCGCCTTCTGTATAGCATTCTTCCACCACCTGTGGCAAATGACCTACGTGCCAAGAAGCCGGTTGCAGCGAAGAAGTATGAGCTTGTTACAGTCATGATGAGTGGTATTGTGGACTTCTCTGTGTTTTGTAATAACACAAAAGAACCGATGGAAATCGTCGAATTACTAAATCAAATTTATGTTCAATTCGATGAGGTTTCTGAAAAGAATCCAGAGGTTTTCAAGGTATTTTTAGTGCATCAAAGATTTCTGATTAATCAGCTTTTTTGTCTCGTTTGTCGTTACCGTTTTATGATGAAAGAAACAATAATAATTGTAATACTATTTTTTAGGTGGAAACTGTTGGCGATAAGTACATGGCAGTGAGTGGATTGCCTTTAAAATGTGAAAGACACGCGCACAATATTGCCAATTTGTGCCTGGACATGCACGAAATTGCAAAGGGCATTGTTATTAACGGTAGAAACGTTGAGGTATATAAACGATTTTTTGCCAAAATTTAAATAGTTTAGAAAGTAAGGATTTCGTTACGTTACGGAATTAAGTACTGTTTCCTTTCTAGAAGTTTGCCTTTAGTCAGGCTATGGGTTTTGAGTCTTCAAATAACTAATGGCGCAATATCTAATCTTTAATCCTATGGCAGTGCGATGAAAAGTACTAGTCTGGGGGTGATACCAAGTTAAAATGCCTACGTCACAGCAACCAAAATGGTTTTATTCGGTACAGGCTACACCTTAGAACAACACTTGTTGAGAAACATCAAATCACACATCTGTAACGAAGGTCATCGAAAGCGGAATATTTCATTTACGGCAACCAGACCAGGCTTGATTTTTATTCTCATAGGCTAGGGGAACGGTGGACACTTTCCTTGTTTCTAAGTAAACCCTTGGTTTTATTTTCAAGCATGGGCAAAGCAGCTTTGTGAAAAGATTTTGAGGACTTGTTCAACCTTAAACGACGCTAAATCCAACGAGTCTATCAACTTGTACTTAAACTACAGACTCTAGGTGCTCTTCCTTTTTTGAATTATCTATCAGTTAGTTGCACAGTCAATCAATTGCATTTGGATGAGGCAACAGTGTATATGTATTTTTCAGGACCTGGTGTCTCTGGCTGCCAACACATTAGTTTCCTTGGAACGGTCTTTTTTCGTTAACATTTTATTACACTTAGACATCAATTTGCATTGTATTATTTCAAAAAGTATTTAAATCATATGAATTTGAAAATCTGCTTATCCATAGGTAACAATCGGTGTTCATTCAGGAGAGGTTGTTGCTGGGGTGGTCGGCCAAAAGATGCCTCGCTACTGCTTGTTTGGGAATACCGTTAATTTGACAAGTAGATGTGAAACGACCGGCGTCAAGGGCAAGATAAACGTCTCAGAATATGCTTATAGGTAGGAAATGTACGGTAGAGCTTTGCAGGTTTATTGTTTCTTTGCTTTGTTACGTTAGGTTAAAGTTTGTTGCTGTGAAATGTATATTCATTTCATTGCTTATTTGAAATTCAACAAACGTGTAACTCTAAGCATACTAAAAAAATAAAATGGTAACGAATGATAAGTCTAATAAAAAGTAGTAAATGCTAACTAGGATATATGCAAAAAAATCTGTCTAATTTACACTTTAAGGAACAAAATGTATTGAAGCATATTGTAGTCAAACTTTTTTTAGAATATTTGTAGATATGCCTGCAGGAACTCCAGCAAAGGCTCTCCATTTATAGCATGTTTCGACCTTTTTGTATGCGTTTTTCGAGTCCTTTTAGCATTGATATATCATTGCAATTATTCTTCGTTAATTGTAAGATTCATAAGATATACAGCTAATCTCGACATTTTCAAAAATGAGGAACGTCCTTGGCCAGCAATGTCGTTTTGCAAGTTATAATTTGAAACTATCTACCAGACTACGAATAGAAATTAGATTAAATAAGATAAAAGGTTTTATAGAAACCTTACAGGATATAACAAATTTGATGATGTTGAAATATTGTGTAGAAGTCTGAAAGAAAGGAAATCAACCTATAATGTGATGGCTTTAATTGGTTGATGCAATCATTTCATCAAAATACGTTAATTGCACCGCATATTTTTGGTGCAACTGACTTTCCAAGACGATTCATCGTAACGCTCTCTTTGCTTTAAATTCGGGTTGCCTGTGAAAAGATCCGTGACAAAAAACTGCTGCTTGTAACATTACTTGCACTTTTTGCATCTTAGATGTTTAATCAAGAACCCAGACAAATCATGGATACTGGAACCAAGAGGCTTAGTGAGCATGAAAGGAAAAAAGGAGCCCATGATGTGCTACTTGCTCTCAAGAAAACGAAAGTAAATACATGGAATTTCTTAACCTTCTATCCTACTTATATTATTTGCCTTTTCTATTACTTCGAGCGCCAATTGCAGACATCTTATCCGCATCAATTTTTTTGATAAACCAAGTGCCCTAACATTAATTCTCAGTTGCTGGATATTTCATAAAAGTTTAGTTAATTAGTTAATTATTGCTATATTTGCGATGAAGGAGAAGATTTTTGGATGAGATAGAACTTTGCAATTTGACTATTGTCTGTTCACAACGATATCGAGTCGATATTTCCAATTTTATTCTCACTTGATATTCGAATTGCTTTGGAAACTCAGTAACAAGCTGTCAAAATGTAGGGAATAAATTAAGCACAACATTTAAGACTGTTTGGGGGAGTATGTTATTTAATTAAACACAAAATAATATTTTAATCAACATTTTCAACGACATCCTAGTTCTTCATTTGACATAGCAATTTGAATCACCATCACTTCTCTAGAAGATTTTCCTGTTTTGTAATTGATTTTACAATATAAAACTGATATGACTTTGTCAAATTGACATTGCTATATTTGATTTGTTTGAAATGTGTCATTTGCTACCTTTTGGTTTTCTAGGAGTGAAGAATAGCAACAAAAAGCAATAGTGTGTTAGAAATTGTTCAAGTAAAGGTTGGTGTAAAATAGAGACATAAAATGTCTTGAGTAAATTACTTGATTTTAAAATGTCATAGAAAGCAGATTTAGGTTAATAACCTAGCTAAAGACAATTGAAATATTTATTCATTTATTTATTTGTTATTTATTTGCATTGAGCAGAGAAGTTGTACATAGGTTATATATATACATGTAGCTTATCAAAGGTTAGGCTATTGTCTACTTAATTTTTTTATTTTGAAGTTAGGTGTGTATATCAACTAATTTTCCTTCTAGTAGAATCGTAGCAAATTAATTTAGAACCAAGGAGATATTGTGCCGTGCACAATTAAAAATCAGTGTGTACATTTACTAAAAGTGGTTAGTTCCTTTTTGTAAATAAATAGAGAAAAAGGAAATTACCGGTATCAGTCATATGTTTTCAAATTATATCTAAACTGCTTTATTTCTAGACCATTTAACTGTCTATGAGCATCACTCCAGTGGAAACATCTCTGAAAACGATGCACTTTCAAAATTTGTTGATTTTCTTAATGTAGACGGTTTCCAAAATGCCTTGCTTGCCCTGTAATTTAGACATGGTTATTTAAACTTGGTAATGGCACTTTGAATTTTCAAATAAATATTTTGACTCAGTTTCAGTTTCAGATAATTTTAAAATTCCACTACATACAATCCAAAAAAGAGAAAGTTTATATACAATTAAATATAGCATGCTTAACTAATTAATACAAAGATAAATGCTACACAAGAAACCTAAAAGAAACAATATATAGTATTACACCAAGAAGACAAAGGAATTGTATGTAGGGGAATTTCTTAAGGAGGGGCTCTCTCAGTAGCTAGGCGAATCGAGGAGAGGGCACCCCCTATTTATTTATAACTGATTAGCTAATTCTTTCAAAATTTCTTTGAACAATTTATGCATCTAACTTTGGACTGAATGGGGATTTTTCAGGAACAGTATTTGTTTTCAAAGAAAAAAGTCTTAAGTTTGCAACGAAAACTACAAGCAAATTTTGAACTTTTTATCTCTAAGGGAATGTTATTCCAGCATTTTGCTCCAAAATAACGAACTGACCTAAGACCATATTGAAGGGTATTTTTCTGATTTAGAAAAATATCTTTAGTAGTTGCTTGGCGTGTATGATATGAATGAGCAGATTCAATTAATTCAAAGTAGGGATGAAAACAAGTGGGAGAAATTTTATTTACACAATCATAAACAAAACATAATAATTTCAGCTGAAAAAGATCATGCAGCTTGAAAATCTTCAAGTCAGAAAAGATTGGAGTGGAAGGAGAAGAAAGGTTTCGAAATGAAATTGCCTTTACAACCCTCTTCTGTAACAAGAACACAGGATTAATATAAGTCTCATAGATAAGGCCCCAAACTAATATGCCATACTGCAGGAAAGGTGAAAATAAAGAATTATAAAGAAAAATCAAAACGTTAATTGGTAATTAGTATCTAATTTTGACGAATATGCCACAAGTTCTAGCTAGTTTTTTGAAAGTTCTGTTAAGTGTTTTTGAAAGTATTTCCATGAGAGATTTTCGTCCAAAAGAACACCAAGAAATTTTACATAACAGGTCTTTCTGATTGGAAGGTTACCAATTTTGAAACTAACTGTGACAGGGCAAAAATGCTGAGGTGACTTAAAAATAACAAAATTAGTTTTATCTATATTCAGAGCAAGTTTTTTTACATCAAGCCACACTTTCACTTTTTTCAGTTCTTTGTTTACCACTTTTTTAAGGAGGTACAGATTTTCAGATTCATAGTAAATGTTAGTATCATCTGCAAATAAGTAAAAGACTAATTTTGAACTTGAGTGTGGCAGATCATTAATGGAAATTGGGAAAAGGATGCATGCATGGCCTTGAACTCTATATCCCACACGAGGCATTACAGTGGAGGAACAATTTGGCATGGCCTGTTTGATTTTCAAATGTTGATAAAGCATTACCATTCCAGATCTTTTAAATTTTCATGGCACTTTTCAGGACCAACTCTTTTTTTCTCCAAAAATAGCCTCTTTGAAGCCAAGAGTCTTAAGAGTTTTGTTTTAATTTGTTCGTATTCAGAAAACGGGGCAGGAGGCTAGAAACTTCTAAAAGCACCAGATTTTTTGGAAAATATTGTCCTTAGTACCTTCCAAAAAAATTAATTCCCACTGTCCGGAGCCAAGTTTACTTTTAGAGCATTGTTGAACAGCATTTTGATGAGACCAGTCTGGCATCGGGAAAACACTGGTATGAAATCAAGCAGCATTTTTTGGATAAAAACATCATGAAAAATAAAGAGCTATTTTACCTCTTTACAAAGATAAATTTAGGATGTTTAAATTTACGATTTGCAATAAATTCATAAATTATATGCTATTTGTGGAAATACTCACATTTTTGTCAGGAAAAGTAAATAGCAAAAGTGTCATCACAATGTCAAAAGCAGATGGCTGGCTTTTTAGATTTTGTCAAGAAATCTTTTTTTCTGGAACACATAAAAAGATGTTCCAAGGGCTTCTTATGAAGTTGTTGGTACATATATAATTAATTTTTGAAACTAAACTTGACATCACGAGTCTGAAACGTTAGGGCAGGGGCAGTGCCATGGGGTGGACTGGGGTGGAATGTCTTTCAATGATCTATTTTTTATTCCAGTCAAAATCGACAAGAAAATGGTGTAAATTGGACTTTTCTCTTGACTTTCAATAATTACCTTCAAGCATTTATCATTAGTCTGATGAAATTCTAATAAGACCTTTTCAAATCAGTATAGAATGTGATCTGGTGGAAAAAACAGAGCTTGATGATATAAAGATTAAGTCTTGATTATATGATAGATTGAAAATCAAACCAAGGATGAAAATATAATGGTTACTTTGCAATATCTTTAAAAAAAGGCGTTTCAAGCAGTTTAGAGGGCGTGGTATCTAGAAATTTCTGGGCAAGCCCCCTGAAATCTTTTCCACACAACATATTAACGGCTAGCACCACACCTGAATTGGTGTCCTCCAAATCTGGTTTTGAATTGATGTCCTCCATTAACTAATGTCCTTCAAATCTGATTTGGATAAATTAGGCAGATAAAATGACGAGACACTTAACTAATTCATGTTTTGAAAAGCCAGTTATAGATAAAATGGGCCACAGTAATGTTTATTAATGTAAGTTTTGGATACATTCAATTGTTGTGGGTTACTCTGCTTAGTGTTAGCCACATTATCATTCTGGTCAACTTCATTAATCCATTTGTTTTTCATCAATAATGTAGCTATTTTTTGTGGTTTGCCTTTTGAACAAAATGGAATACATAAAAATCTGCCACACTTAGCACTACATATTCAAGATAATGATTCAAAGGTTTCCCCTTTTTGTAACTAAATCTAGATCGTAGATGACTGGTAAAATGACACAACATGCAGTTTTAGCAATATTTTTTTAAATTGATAATACACTTATTATATGTACATAATTTTGTATTTTCAATACACAGTCAGTTCTGTCTCATTTCAAGACAGACAATAAGATCCCAATACTGGTGTAGTGGTGTAGCTACATTCTTTTAGATTTATTCAGAAGAAGCTCCATAAAGAATCTTGCCACCATATCAATTTGGAAAATGTCACAAACTTTTGAAAGGAAATGACCAGATACACGTTTAAAAACCCAATGTTTCTTGCCCAGTTCCAAGTCATAAATCTTTAAAACAACAAAACCAAGACAACATAGAATTGCAATGATCATATACTGTAAGCTCTGTTTGGTCCCAATCTTCCACTGACATGTGACACCAACCAAAACTGCAAAAATGATGTGAATACCAAGAGCGATTTCAAATCCAACTTTGCTAAGGAAAACAAGCCCATAGCTGCTGAGTGACATCAAGAGAAGAAGGTTTTCACTTGTAGAGTGCGGCTTTCTGCTGAGGCAAAAAAGGCCAAACAGAGACGCCCACATAAATATGGGTAGTGTTAGCCACTGGTCCAAAATTGCAAACAAACGATTCTGACTAATAATGCGTAAGAATTGTACAGGTCCATAAAAAATGGACATTGTTGCAAACATTTCAAAATAGTGTATCATTTCAGGAGATAGTTTTTTCCTTTGAGGAAAATTTAACCACCTGATGCCAACAGCTATATATCCCAGATTAACAAGTGCATTAAAAGGCATCTTTAAGGTTGTTGTCGGATCTACAAACTCTGCATATTGATGAAATCCAACTTCAACAACAACAGACTTGAATAGGTCACTTCTGGCCAAAACGATGCAACAAAGAAGACCAAATGCAAGGGTTTGTAGAACACTTCTGTTCTCTTGTGCCATTTTAACTAGACTCTAGATGGAAAAAAATTATCAGGAATCAATTTCATTTCAGTCTGCAGAGTATGGCAGTTTATAGGGGGATCTCATACATGCATTGTCATTTTAGACAAATTTTCTATATGCAAACCTACTTTCACCAGTTACAAAGCATTGAATAGAGAAGTTTTTTCCTAATATTGCAATAATAATACAGCAATTTTTAATTGCAGCATGTTGTGCTAAACTGACCATATGATTATTTGCCATAATCTGCAAGCTGGTGCACATTGTATGATCTTTTCTCTCCCATCAAATACTTACAATAAATTTGCAAAAACAAAATAAAAAAGTTGAATCAAAGAATTCTCCTTATCAACAGAATTCATTCAAAGTGAATAGTCCCAAATATTGAATAATACCGCTACTTAAATACATACATACATAACAAGGACAACTAAACTTTCTAGTGTCTAGCTTGAACCCTGTGATGGCATCATTTTAGCTTATGTTATTTTAACTCCAATCTAACTAAAAAGCATATTTATCATATACAAAAATTCACTTTTTTACAATTTTTCCCACTCTATTTCCAAAATTGCGACCATGTTTGAACTTTTACATTTAGTATACTACCTTACTTACAAAGTTACTAGTAACTTTGTAAAACATTATTTAGGCCTAATGAAGTTTGGAAAGCGTAAGCGGTTTATTTCACGAGCATCTTTCTTGTGACTATGACACGACACTCGTCTCTTTATGTCGAGAAATGAATACCTACTCTAATAATGATGTAGATCTTGCGTCAAGTTACCTTGAAACGAACAGCTTTTCAAAAATGAAGGATTAAACGTGGAAGGTACAGTGTCCAGGCAAATACTCCAAGAAGCTCATAAACAACAGCAACAACTACAAATTGCTACATCGAGGCCCGGCCCCAAAGAGCCTCTCTTTACCACGAATCACAGAAAGCAAGCAAACGCAAGGCCAGCATCGGAGAGGAAAAGCCTTTAATGCTCCAAGATGCAAGCTGTTTATTGCTGCGGAAGGGCCCTTGTCGGTAATTCCAAGAAGGTAATCATCATATGCTATGGTTAAAAAGCAGCTTTTGTCTCTGCCAGTTACATAATTACACTTGCGCATTAGAAACAATTTCACGAGTAGGCCTAAGCCTGAAAAAAGTTTTCTGCAAGAACAGAATAGATGTAGTATAATGTAATATAATCCTAAGGCAAATTTACCAACAGTGAACCTTATATGATCTGACAAAGTATTTAAATAAACCACTGTATCAAACAGATGTTTCCACCATGGGCTTTTAAATAAGGGGGTGCTCTCTCCTCGATTAGCTTTGCTATTGAGAGAGTTCCTCCTTAAGAATTCCTCTTCATACAAATCCTCTACTGTAATGTATCTTTCTTTAATTTTGTATGTATTGTCTTATGTAGTTATTCAAATTGTAGTAAAGTGAATTTAATTTTAGAGTCTTTATATGTAGGTGAATTTAGAATAAAATCAACTGAACTGAACTGAACTTTAAATGGTATTCAGATTGCACAATTTCTCTATGGCTATGATTCTAATTTTTACCCACTCTGGTGTTCTTTTCAAGGCACAGTGACCTCTTGCTTTAAAATAAACATCATCATTCATATATTTCTTTTTACACTAGCATGACCCTCTTCAATTGGCGTATTATTGTAATTGGAAAAATTAGCTTGATTTCAGATTGTTTTAATTTTTGTCTCCTCATTTTCAAATATACCATTTGCATACACCTTTCATACACAAATATCAATTTTTATACACACCATTTTCAAATATACTTTTTTAATACACATGCATTTAATACATATACTTTTTGTCAACTGCACACCAAATGTCAGGACACTGATAACATTTTGCGCACTAAAATTGAAATTAATTTGCGCATCAAAATTACAATGGAAATAGGGAGGGGGGGGGGCCCAATTTCGATTTTTTTGATAATGTTGTATCATCTTATCATGTTCCGTGAACTCTTGTTCAGTTCAACAAATTTTGAAATCTGGCATATAGATCGAAGATGTGACTAGCACACAAAACGCATCTGAAATCATCATAACCACTATTCAAACTCATAATCGCTTTGTTCCAGTTCTTGTGATTCAATCGTTGTATGGGTGTGCAAATTCACAAAGAAATGACCCCGAATTTGATACTACGCAGACTCCAAAGCGCTTGGACGGGCGTTGGGCTCTTCTATGCTAACAATGGTACAAGCAGTAATAAAATTCTTTTCAATTTCTAAAAGCATCGACATCCAGAACAAGAGCCACTCTGTTCATTTGAAGAATGATAATGCACCCCGCTTGTTCTGACTCCTTGTAGCAAGAATGCCTATCATTTGTCACTAAAATCCCCATATTTCATGCGTGCTGTGCACCAATTTTGTTACATTTACGCACCAAAGTTTTGAAGTGGGCCCTGAAGATCTTTGGCGCATAGTACGAACTTTCCAACCTGGGGCCACATTTGTTATTTTTCTAAACGCCTTTATAGCCTTCACCAAGCCATTCAGTTTACTTGGAAAAAGGAAGAAAACAATTCCTTACCATTTCTAGATGTTTGTGTTGAAAAGTCTGGAACTGGATCTGTTACCAGTGTCTATCATATGAATTGTTTCAACTTGTTTTCAAAAATCTAATGCTGATTTTTGGACTTTATCAGTCATTTATGTCATTTATGTCACTATCTTATGTTTGATTTCTAAACTTAAACTTATTCATAATCAATTGCTAAAAACTATTATATTTGATATTTGCAGACATTTCAATATGGTTTGAAGTCAAATATTTCAATCAGATCAATTTTTCATGCAAAAAAGTATTCAACAATTCCAGGTAATTATGTGTACTTGGGTCCTTTATCTATGTGTTGATGTGTGTGAATTATTATAAAATGACTTCACATTTTCCAAACTTAATAATCAACTTACATGTTTACAGCCTTTTGTAGGTGAGTGATGGTAGTGGCAGTGGGTGATGGTGAAGAGATTGATAGCCTTTTTTACCTTTCAGATTGAGGGAAGCCTTTATTTTTCTACTGTCTGTAGACAACAAACATTTAGATATAACATTTATGTTCATGATATTCCTTTGTCACTTTGTTTGCAAAGTTGTATTCTTTGATATAAATTGTTTATTTTAGATGACACAGATTTAGTTGTAATTGGCTCTGGGCCAGGTGGTTATGTTGCAGCCATCAAAGCAGCACAACTTGGAATGAAGGTACTTTGACAAATAAGGCAAATTGTTTGATCCAACTTGATTCTTTTTGTTATAATGCATACCTTCAATCAAACCTGGGTGTAAGAATCTTCACTGGCGTGTGGTGAATCACTCTCTTTTTTGAGTTAGGTGGGCAATTTTTACACTATGTATTATTTATGAATACAAAGCTTGAGAAATAAAGTATTGAAGGTGGGGGGGGGGGGGCTTTAAAAGCCAAAACGGAAATCCCATATAAAGTACTCTCTGCCACTGATCAAAGTGAATAATGTTATATTTACTGAACAAAGTTATATCTACTAATCTTCAGAAAATTTATCCTTGCTTGAATCTGATTCTTATTTACTATTTTCTATAGCTTCAACTATGTTTAAAATCCATAATTGTTCTGTTTGAAAAGTACTTGCAATTTTTTACAGCCAAAGATAAAATAAGCATGAAATTTGAAACTTAGAACTCATTAATGACTTACAAAAATATGGTTATCGCATGTATGAAAGAAGGATAAAAGGTGACTTTTCAAAACACCAGTCTTGCTTGTTTTTGATATGAACATTTAAAAATTGATCATGCAGACCAAAATGAGCTTTTGTTGGTTGAGTCCCCTCCTAATCACCATATTCGGTTTCTTCTCCGTTTTACATGCTGGCAGGTGTTGGACGGGTCATTAAAATGACTACCAAGCCAGTTTCATTTGCAAAGTTTCTGGTTACACCTTTTTGCTTCAGATCTTATTTAATTACTTCCTCCCATGTTTTATTCAGTCTCCCTTTGACAACATCTCCTTCTACTTTTAATGTTTTGCATTTCTTCACCAAATCATCATCATTCTTTCTCTCAACGTGACCAAACCAATGAAGCTGCCTTTTCTGCATGCTCTCACTAATATGTACTCTTCAACTTAATCTTTGTCTGAGTTCAATGGAGCTCAGCCTGTCCTTTAGGCTTACTTTACACATCAGCTTTAACTGGCCAATTTACACTGCCATACACCATTGCACTCTGTATATATGCCTAATTGACTCTCCTTTTAGACAGTAATGCAAGAGCTCTACTGGTTAACAGTGGTAACAGATCCCAGAACTACTCCATCCACTTTTTACCTTTGCTGTCACGTTTGCATCAACCCCTCCATTGAGTCTACTGGTGTCACCAAGGTAGCAGAATGTCTGTACCACTTCAATTTCTTCACCATCCAGATACACATTCCTTATCTCAATGTCATTAGATGCCTCTCCTTCCACATATTTTTTGCAACTGAAATTGGTGTTAACTGTCAGCCATCCTTTCATGCCACTGCACTTTTTATGTACCCAGTGCTTGCATGAAACACAGAAAATTGAGTTATTTCCAACTCCCTTCCTACAAACTGAGCAAGGAACCTACCCTTCTTCAGTGGCTTTCTGGAATCCGGATAACTGACCATACACCAATTTGACTTACAGCCTCGCTTTGGAAATTTCTCCAAACTTCATTATACAAAATTTTTAAGCTCAGATTTGGTTTTATCACCATAATTTTAGGCTGGATACAATTTTTTATATTGTTTGTGCTTGTATTTTAGATTTTACAGAGAAATTAAGTTTGAAAACTTGTAAGGAATTTGACCACAAAAATCACTCAGGGGGGACTTTACCTCCCTAATCATCAATCACAGTCAAATCTCTTATAAATTTTTATCTTTATGTTGTCATAAAATCAATATCATGAGCAATGTCATAATGAAAACTTCCAAGTAGCTAAAAACTTTGCTCTCAATCCAAATCTTAAGTCAAAAATTTTGTACAAAAGACTTTTTCAAAACAAGGCTGTAAGTTGAATTGGTGTATAACTTTAGTTTTCCCCAAGTTCATTTTCTACATATTCAGCTTAGCCAGTAGCCCATCTATGGACTCACTATATCATCTCGGTAAAGCATCTCCTCTGGACATCCGCTTTGGAATTCTCTTGACAATGCCTCTTAGACACAGATAAAAAACAATGGACTCAGTACAGATCCCTGATGGACTTTATCTCCTACATTGAAACCCCTGGTGAAGGTGCCTGGACAAATTTTATAAGCTAACTTCTAATTTCCTCATAACCCTCCATACCACATCTCTTGACACTCTGTCATATGCCTTTTCAAATTAAGAATGGAAATGGCATCAGTCGTGAAGGCCAAAATCAAATTTTATATTGTCAATGTCTGTTTCACTTCCAATTTGTTTTTCTCAATCATTCTCTGTCCCATGGAAGCTCTGTGTTTAGCTATCTTTCATAATAACTTTTCCAAGGGTTCTTCATTTCAGTTTCATTTGTTGCTGATTCTCCATCATACTTTCTAATACATTTCTTTCCTATTTTATCCTGCTGAGTCTTTCTCATCTACTGGGCCATTCTAAACATATAATATTTTGCCTTGGAATAAACTTTCTTTTCATCTCAGGGACTTTCTTCACCTTCAAATCCCATATGGCTTGTGCTGGGTGACAATCTATTCCCCTGGAATCATTTTCACATCATACAAAAGCTTTCTTTCATTCTTCCTCACAAGGGTAAAAACAACTTGTGACCTATGGGCTCATTTGCACTATGCTCTGATATAAGTTTGTCGAAGTTTATATTTTCATGGAAATTAATGGAACATTTTCAAATCTGACAAACTTTGTAAGATTTTTATTCGCACTGACAACTACAGTGTTATGAATTATATAACATCACGCTGTCATTCGTGACATTTGATGGATGGCAGTCTACAAGCTTTCACATTTCTATTCTGTTGTGACTCGGAATGGATGAGGAAAACTCTTTACATTTAGGCTGGCACTTGCTCCACTTGTTCTGTCTCAAATGCAGTTTCAGTTATAAATCAGCAACAAAGCAATCTTATTTTGGCTTTAACAACATACAAGCAGTTACAAAACACACTAGTTTATCGAAGACACAAAACTACAAAATCAAGTGTTTTGAAGCAGATTTGAAGTGTTTTGGAGCTCCCCTCAGCCCGAAGCATCCCACTTTTTAGACCACACTTTATACTGATTTAGAGTTCAAGAAAAGCTTGAGGATTGAGCGAAACATTTTGGTTCATTCCAAACATTGTGCCAAAATTATTAGTGTTATTCTAGAAAAACAGGCGATTGTTTTGTTTCATCTTTTCTTGAATGTTGAGTACACAAGCACAGTAATATTAATATGCCATGTCTACACATTTTTAAGTTTTATTGTTTAAGGAACATTAAATACAAAATTTCTATTAGATTTTCTAATCTTGCTTAAAAGTTTTTGCAGTATCTTTAAAAATCAAATGTTCTATATTTGTTATTTTTATTTAAAACTGTTACAATAGAAATGGCATATAATCACTTAAACTAGGTGCTAATGAGATTTCAATGAACTTCTTTTCTAGACTGTTTGTGTTGAGAAAAATGACACACTTGGTGGAACTTGTTTAAATGTTGGGTGTATCCCTTCTAAGGTATTCAAAGTTTTATTCAAGTTACGAATATTATTCCATTTTAGCTTTTGCTATTTCATCTGAATTTAAATTTATTGTCTGATAAGTATTTACACTTGAATAAGTGGCAGTAAATCATGGAAAGAGATATATTCATGTTAAATGCTATATTTTCTACCTTCAAAATCACTTTTGACTTAAAATGCTTTGTCTGTATTTTCACAAATACGTGATAAACAGAGCAATATAAAACTATTTTTGATACAACACAAAACAAGATATAAGTTTTTATCAATCTATAAGTCTTTGTCATATTTTTGCTGATTTTTTACAGTACCTTCCTATTTTTTTTCCTTATCATTCTATAGGCTCTTCTGAATAATTCCCATCTTTACCACTTGGCAATGACAAATGATTTTGAGAACAGGGGAATCATGAGTAAGGACCATTTTATAAATGTTTCTTTAAATGTTGCTTATTTCAATTATTTTTTGTCTTTACAAACTAACCAATAATTTCTCAAAAGCTTTCTTACAAATGTATAGACAAGAAAATAAGAATATATTTATTTTGTCAGCAGTGCATTGTCAAAACTTCAGCCTCAAGTTATCTGTTCCATTTTTAATGCATTTATTTCAAAAGTGGTTGCCAATCAGCATATACTGTTTCAGAGTCAATTTCGTATTTTCTTTAAATCTGAAAAACACATTTTAAAGTATTAGTATCAATTTTAAATTGCTGATGCAAGAAATTAATTGTCTCTGCTTTCTATTTTACTAGTTGGAAAGCCTACTCTAGACCTTGATAAAATGATGGCTCAAAAGTTGGATGCTGTGAAAGGCCTGACAAGTGGGATTGCATATCTCTTTAAGAATAATAAAGTAGGGATCTCATTTATTAATTTGTGCAATTAATTTTTAAAGTTTTTGTTACCTTTCCTTGTTTGCTATTTATTTCTTTGCAATTATTTATTATCTAAGTGTTTTGTTGATTGATTTCAATTAAGTTTCAAGAATTTATTTGCTGTATATTTGATCATTTCATTGATTAAGCTGTTTATTTGATCATTTTTTTGATAAGGCTGCAGCTCAACAGTTTCTCAGTTCTGCTCTGATTCCTTTTTAAGGTAGTGCATGTTCAGGGACATGGAAAGATTACGGGACCTAGCGAGGTAATGACTTGTGAAGTTATAGAAAATTAATTTCTATGGCAGATACATATTGATTTATATGTACTTGAGTTGAAAAATATATTGTGGCTGATAATGTTGATAGCAATAAATACCAACAGCAATAAATATTAGTGGTAATAAATACTAGCATTAACAAATATCAACAACAATAGATATTATTAATAATAGATATAATTTTTATCAAAGCAGCAAAAATTGACTGCAGTAACTATCAGCAGTGATAGATATTAGCAACAGTAAATACCAGCAGCAATAAGTATCAGCACTAATAAATACTAGCAATGACAAATATCAACAACAATAGCTATCATTAATAATAGATATGATTTTACAATACAATATTCTGTGCTGTCCACAGCAGAAATAGACATTACGTCATCTGACTCACGCTATGAAAGGCACTTAACAGTTACTTTAATTACAATAACTTTCTAAAAAAGCATTTTGTGAACCAAGGTACCATTTAATTTGGCAGGAGCTTGCGTACGCCATTTTAGGGCAGGCAATTTCATGGTTATGGGTTGATTACAGGCATTAGATGACAAAATAGGTCAAAATAAGCGAGTTGATGAGGAATCTATACACAGGGTTATTGATGCTGATGCCACACAAAGAGCTTATTTAGACCAATATTGACTGCAGTAAATATCAGCAGTGATAGATATCAGCAACAGTAAATATTAGCAACAATAAATATCAACAAATGAATATCAAGGAGGATGAATATCAGCAGTAATGCCTCGTCCATGCTGCAATACCTTTTTAGCCTAGAACAAACAATGTACAGCAGTATGAAATTGAAAATAAGCTGTTTACTTAGCACACTTTTTAGGTGATCTCTTGTGTCATGTGAACATATCTTACAATTTTATTGAATCACTGTCGTTAATATGAAGGCAGATCCATCAATTTCTTTTGCTACTTTTATTGTGATGTGATAGGTATCAGTAATGAAGAGAGATGGCAGTGAAGAGGTGATAACGACAAAGAACATAATGATAGCAACTGGCTCTGAAGTTACTCCATTCCCTGGCATTGAGGTTTTTACTTTCAAATTTTATGAGTAAAGTTTTTTTTCTGCCTGTCATTTTGTATGTATTCTAAATACATATATCAATACATTAAAAAGGGATAATCTATGTTTTATGTTTGTAGTATTTTCCTTTTACATGTGACTACCTTTGTATTCCATTCCTGGTCTTGGCAAAGTTCTTTTCAAATCTATTCTTAAGCTTTTAACGTTCATGTTTTCAATCTTTTGGTGGTACAAAACTTGTAAATGGCTTTGAAAAAAGCAAACATTTAGTAAACTAAAGCTTTTCATCTGACACTCTTCAGAGTTTAAAACGTCAGAACATAGATCGAAAACTCTACGCTAAGAAATATATATACCCATATATATATCCACAACTGGGTATATATATTTCTTAGCGTAGAGTTTTCGATCTATGTTCTGACGTTTTAAACTCTGAAGAGTGTCAGACGAAAAGCTTTAGTTTACTAAATGTTTGCTTTTTTCAAAGCCGTTCATGTTTTCCCAAATCACTCTCTATGCCTTAGCACAGGATATTTTTCATATAGCTGACTAGTTTTCCTTCATCTTTTAACACTGCATAGTTTCACCATGCTAGGCATTATTCCAATTCTGTAAAATTTATGAGTTTCTTGACCAATTCAAAACATATGAAGACGTAATTTATAGAGAATTTATTGTCGGGGACAAAAATTTTAACATAAGACTTAATATCATCTTATTAATTTAACTAAATTTCGAAGAGGTTTGAAAATTGACTGAATGGTGGTACTATGTAATACTTTGGATCCAAAAATCAGAACGTTCATAAAAGTGGAAGCAAAAATGAGATGCTCAGATACTTAGGGACTGGCCAAAGTGAAGCATCCTAAAATGTCAGATTGCATTCTTCTATAACGCTTATCGGTACATAAAAATTTTACTGTGATTTACAAGTGACTTCCAAGTTATTAAAAAAATATCTTCCTCATTTAGATAGACGAGGAGACGATTGTGTCATCCACTGGAGCTCTCTCATTGAAAAAAGTTCCAGAGAGAATGCTGATCATTGGTGCAGGAGTAATTGGTCTGGAACTGGTAAGATTGCTTCATAAAGCAAGCTATTCGATTGATCGTAGCAAAATACAGATTCAGTGGTTATTGGTTGATATTCCATAGAAATATATGAGAAATTTTTTTTCGATTACTGAATTGGACTTCTTAAACCCAGTTATGTCAGTAATATGGTTTTGGCTTTCCCAGTTATATGGTCTGGTAAATAAACTTGAAGCGAATCTAGCGTAGCAGCTTAAACTCAGTCATCTGTTTCATTTGCTTTATGTTGCAATTGACTTTGATTGCATGTTTTTCCGATGGCATTTTCGTTCCTGTGGCTATTTTCATCTCTAATTGATTTTTTATCCATTTTTTTAAATCTCTACTTACAATTTAAAAAGGAGTGCAGATAATGTAAAACCTTAACGAAAAAAACGTCTTATTACTTCAAGTTAACCACACTAAGTTTCCTCAAATTTGTAGCTTTGCTCATCGTAATTGTTACCTTTAATAGGGCTCAGTTTGGCAGAGGCTAGGCTCGAAAGTTACTGCAGTCGAATTTATGAGCAACGTTGGCGGTGTTGGGATTGACCTTGAAATCGCGTATGTACTCCCAATACCATGTTTTTTAAAGTGACCAGTGAAGGTAGCAATGGCTTATTATTTCTCCCTTCATTCTTGTTGTTGAACATTGTTTTCAGTTAGAGAAGAACAGTCATCTCGGCTTATGTAGTTATGAACCTTTAAATGAATTTGTTACTTAAAAGTATTTTTTAAATTTCCCCGAAGATAACTCTACTACCTTGTATGAAGGAGCAACCAGAAAACACCGCAAAAATGTCTCAGCGATTGCTCTAGGATGCCTTTACTTAATGTGAAGATGTCCTGTGCCAAGGCATAGAGAGTGATTTGGGAAAACATAAATGTTAAAATCTTTAGAATAGATTTTAAAAGAACTTTTCTAAGACCAGGGATGGAATACAAAAGTAGTCACATGTAAAAGGGAAACATTACAAACATAAAACATCTATTATCCCGTTTCAATGTATTGAAACATGTATTTAGAATACAGAAATAAGGACAAGGCTCTTTCATTATGAGCTGTTCGCAAGGGAAGATAAACATTTTCTCAGCTCAGTACATCGCTACATTTTATCAGCATTGATTTACTCAAGTATAATTTCTTAAGTTTTTGTTGCTTTTACCTATCTAGAAAAAATTTCCAAAGAAGTTTAGGAAAACTCGGAATGAAGTTCAAGCTGCAACACAAAGTAACAGGTACCCAAGCTGTAGCTAACTTTCAAGGATATGTTGCTCATGATCTGTTTCGAAATAGTTAATATTATTTTAGAATATTATTGAGATCAAGCCATATAATTATTACTTTAGTGTTAGTTGATATGAAATTTCATTATTGAAAGTTGTGGAAAGCAAAGATTTGTAATTGTAGACGTTGAAATGTTTGAAGAATGTGTATTTTTATCTAAACGAGGTATCGCAGTGTATCTTTTTGTGAAGCCCATCTCTTGCGTTACAACCGTTAGAGAAAGAGTTCAGTACTAAGCTTGAAACGCATGCTGTTTTCTGTAGCATTATGCATTTTTCAATTAAGATTTTTATATTTTGAGCCTCAAAAGTCAGGAAAATGATAATTGTGAACCAACGCATACCAAAACCAAAAAAAACATTTGTTCTTCTGTTGATATTGAAACTTTTATTTTCCATCCCAAAGGTGCAACAAGAACCGAAAATGGAACCATAAACGTCAGGTAAAAGTAGCCCCGAATCATCCTCTAAACACTGAATACATTTTTTGATAGATTTGCCTCTTTAAAGAACTCTTTTTTGTACTTTTAGCATACTGGAGTGTGCCTATTTTTTGGGGTGATTTTTAAAAACCCAATATCTAGAAAGGATAAATTTCTTCAACTTTGCTGTGCCTTAATTTCGTTATGCTCAATTTCCACCAGCTGTCTCTTCACAAGCTCACTTCTTTACTGCTTTTGCTAAAATACAATTCTTTCCATGAACTTATTTGGTTGCTGCTCCAACGCATGCTTTTTTGTTGGGATTTGATTTTGTATTGACAAAAATATATTTGCTATTTTCCAGTATCGAAAGCGTTAAAGATGGCTCAAAGAAAGAAGAGGTTGGTATTTTGAAGAATTTTTCCTTGTTCGATCTAACTTAATGTTGTTTGATGATTATACAATTTCTTTCACCATAGATCAGCTTTCTGCTCCTCTGCTTTTGTTATATCATCAGTAAGAGCCTTGAATTGAAAGCATATAAGATATGCTTGCTATCCCGACTGCCATTTGCATCAATGTATCGAAGCTGGGAGAGGGGAGGGGGGACGTCAACTGCTGAGTGTGGCTAAAATGACTAAAATCTGTTTGCGGGGTTGTTTAATCAGAGACTTCGACTCCATAATCCAGTCTTGCTTCAATTTTATTACTCTTTTTTCGACTCTTGATCAAGCAATGTATTCTAGACAAAATCAGATGAAAAACTATCATTCAGTTTATCAAATTATCTGCTTTTTAGATGGAGTGTGACGTTCTTCTTGTATGTATCGGTAGAAGACCTTATCTTGATAATATTGGCCTCGAGGTAAGTCTGATATATGAATATTCTGTTTTCACGTCTTTGATACATGTACGAACCTTGATTAATTTTCATCGTTTTTGATTGATTTCTGTTTTGGCTAGCATCAATTTAAGTTGACATTTCTTTGTTCGACTGCCTTGAACACGGCTTTTGAGAAAACCCCTTAAACACGTGCCCAGTACCATGTATGTATAGTCCAACATCTACCCTCCCCCCCTCTCATTCAAAGAGGACGTATTTACTTTTGTAATGATATCAACATTTACATGGGTGGAAAGGAATTGCAAAATCTAAAGACTTTCTGTCCAGGGTTGTAGCTACGAACTCTATTGTCCAGTAATTATGTGTCATAGCTGTGATACGTTTCGTATCCAAAGCTTCAGGAAACATTGAACTAACATAGAATTTTCAGGACTGGAATGTATTTGAATCCAATCTGACATGCTTAATGGGTGCTTGATTTCTCTTGAGAGTCATTAATTTCTGATTTATAAAATGTTACGTTACAGGAACTGGGTATCGAGAAAGATGAGAAAGGAAGAGTGAAAACGAATTCAAGGTTTCAGACAAATGTACCATCGTACGTAGATTTTTTGTTTTTTTATGAACTTTCATTTTCTGTTTTTAATACTTAATTTTTTATTTCAAATCATAAGTTCTGTGGTAAGATACTTTGCGAAAGGATTATCACATTGCAGAATTATATACTCTGACTGGAATACCAAAATTTACCAGTGTGGCTTTTCTTATCATAAATAGTAAGTAGGCTTTGAAACAAATCTCAACAGCAATGATAACAGAAAGTCAGAGAAATATGCCACCCTCATATCTGACTTAAGGCGTCAGTTTAAATCAGTTTCTTTTATCAATCTTTCCATCAATTCACTGGGTATCTTTGGCAACTTCTGAAGCTCTTTCATCGATATGTGTGACTCTTAATCCATTGATCATCAACAGGAACGCTATCTCATCTCCAAATATTCTAGCATCTCCATTCTTACCGCATCTTACGTATTCTGTTGTAGGGACAAAACTTGGACTAACCCAGAGCTACTCCCCTTTTAACCCTTCATTTTCTTTTCTCATTACTACGATTGTAATGGTTTTATTTTGTAAAAGTTCTAGCCAGTTACAAATTACCTATGTAACAGTGAGATTTGTATTTTTAGTTTTAACTGGAATTCAGAATGAAAATTTTTCATTTGAATGCTGTAAAGAAAAATTTTTCAAACAAGTCTCAAGCTTTAGAACCTCAAATGGTCCTTTTACATTGTAGAGTTTACGCAATTGGTGACTGTATTGATGGTCCCATGCTGGCACACAAGGCTGAAGATGAAGGTATTTCTCTGTTTTAATATTACTTTTATTATGTACGAAATGCATCTGCACACCGCAAAAGCTTCTTAGATTCTGTGTAAAACAGCAGTGTAAAGACAGTACTACCTCAACAACTGCTTGTTTAGAACACTTCGTTACGTAGTTACATGATTGCACTCACCACTTACAATGCATAATTGTCAAACTTCAATATTTTTGCTCTTGTCAGACTTTTACACAACTGTAGCTAAGAGTTTAAAATGCCACGACAAATAGTAAATTCCTTGATCAAACTTCATTTCCAATCAGCTTTCCATCTCGAGCCAAGGAACGCTTCTATAGATGAGTCAATGTATTTTTAAAGAATATTTTCTTAGAAATTAGGCTTATAATAGTAAAGAATACTTACTGTTTCCTTAGTTCTTATTTGCACGTTGATCCAGCATTTCTCGCTAAGTGTGCGTTAATGTTTGATACTTGTCTATATCGTCTTCAAGGTTTTGTTGTTGTTTTTGTAAATTTACTTTTATTCGATATAAAAAAAATAGCTAACAATGTATACATTTATATGTATACAATGTTAACTAATCAAAATCGAACAAAGCTACCAATTAGTACCCACAAGTAATTATAGATACTAAGTTAAAGATTAACTTGCATTTACTGGCAGAAGCTGACAGACCCTACATTGCCAATTCGGTCCGTCCCGTTGTTTTATTAGATTCTTAAAACTTTTTAAATTTTCTGCGGATTTCAGATCGTTTGGTAGGCCATTCCATATCTGTGGCCCGATTGACATAAGACTTTTGGATCCAAATATTGTTTGATTAGGTCTAACATGGGCTAAGTTATTTGGATTTCTTAATGAATAATTGACAAACTCAATTTAAAAATACTCTGCATAAAAGATTGGCTCAACTGTTTTTTTAATATTTCAATGCACAGAATTCTTTGACGAGCATCGTGCATTTGTCTGACTTCACAAGCAGATCGTTATACAAAGCTCTGAACAAGAATATTTTTCTCGTGGAAACCAATAAACATCTTTAATATTTTAAGAACATTTATTTGTGTTGCTGCTTTTTTGCAAAGTTTCGAAATATGTGAATGGAAATCAAGTTTGTAATCCAACGTTACTCCTAAAATCTCCACTGTCTCCTTAGATTTAATTTTTTTACCATTAATGATTATTTGTTCTCCACTAGTATTTGTCTTGTTTTTCCTAAGCATTATAGCATGAAATTTTTCAGGGTTTGCAATCATTCCATTTTTTTCTAACCATGATAAGGCAATTCCCGTTTCTTTTTGCAAAGTATTTACAAGATCGCGCATGTTTCTAGAAAAATAAGCAAGTGTATTGTCGTCAGCATAATTATAGAGCGTTGCTTTTTTTATGAATAGAAATAAGTCATTTATGTAAAAATTGAACAGGACTGGTCCTAGCACAAAGCCCTGTGGTACACCAGACATACACCAACCTCTTGAAAAGGGCTGTATAAGTTGTTTATCCGAACACACTGTTTTCGTCTTTTGATTATTAGAACTATAGATTAGAACTAGAGCATCTTCATTGCTTCATGAAATTAAATCTATTTTCTTAGGTATCATATGCGTCGAGGGTATTGCTGGGTCTCCAGTTCACATAGACTACAACTGTGTTCCCTCAGTCATTTATACGCATCCGGTACGTGCAGCTATTTTCATTTGTATACCCTTATATTGCAATATCCGCCGAGCGATGTTTGCATTCAGCAGGCATTTGAGACGTAGAACCGCTCTGTTCTTCACAATGCTCTGTTGCAACGTAGAACCACTCTGTTCTACACACTAAAGCAGGTACAATTCTGTCTAAACTGCACTGAGCACTACAAAACTGGCCTGTTACCTGTCATCGTCATTATATTGCAGTATTTATTTTCCCTTGGATCTTATTAGTTATTTCCTGAAGCTGTTGTTCTTCACTGTTTTCTGCACGGTTTTGCTGCAAATTATTTTCGATCTCAAATCAGGCCTTTCATAGTGTTTCATAGTGTGATAATTACAATTATGTTTTTCCCTCAATTTTTACCTTTTTATATACACACTCCTAGAATTAAAATTCTTATTAAGAGCTTTTATAGGATTTAGAATATAATTAAGAGAATTTACTTGAATGTGCAGGGGATGTGATCATAGTGTTTTTGCACTAATATTCCTTCTAAGTTTCCACATGTTGAGATCGCATCAATCACAAGCATTTATATGAAATCGCACGTGTTGTATCTTAACTAGTGCTATATTTTCCTATTTATGTTCTTTGTTGGAATATCCATTTTTCTAATCCCTTTATCTAAGAAACGTAAATTGTTTTATTTTAGGAAGTCGCATGGGTTGGTAAAAGTGAAGAGCAACTCAAAAGCGAGGTAATTTGATCATATGTCAGCATCTCCATGTCCACAATGCATTTCAGAAAATCCGCAATGCCTCTTTTTAAATTATTCATTGATTTAGTTTGAATTATCTGGCTTAGGCTTTTTACCAAAATTATTTACATAAAGCTTTTTTTTCCGGTTAAATCTTTCCAAGTTCTCCCCAAGTTTGCACAAAGGGTGAATAAGTTAAAAAAATTTGATCAAAACAGGGAATCAAATACAAAATTGGGAAATTCCCCATGTCTGCGAACAGTCGTGCTAGAACTACAAACGATGCTGAGGGAATGGTTAAAGTTCTTGCAGATAAAGAAACGGATCGTATACTGGGAGTGCACATGATTGCATCCACTGCTGGAGAATTAATCAACGAAGCTTGTCTCGCCATGGAATACGGAGCTTCGGCCGAAGATGTCGCTCGTGTATGCCACGCCCATCCGGTAAGTCAATCATTTAGATAAAGCATATATTTGAAGATTTTATTTTGTTTTGGTCGTTATAAGATATCTTTAGATAGATGTTACAGAAACAAAAAATGTACCTTTTAAACGCAAACAATAAAATATTCTCTTTACACTCTCCATCCAGTTTGGAGGATACAGAAAGCCCCTTGAGGCTTCTGCAGAAAGTATTTTGAATTTCATGTGACAATAGAATGGCTCTAGGATGGGGTAGAGAAAGCTTCTTAAGATTTCTATGTAGTAGATTTTAAACTTCATGTAACAGCCAAAGATATTTTTTGAATTGTTCTATGGTGGGATTGATCCCGAGGAATAGGGAATTTGTATCTATAAAAACGTTTTTATTTTAAAATTTCGAAATTTGGCTAGAAGTAATTTAATAAAAACCTCAATTTTGTGCCAACATTGGGATATTTTTTCAAATTTTGCATACTGTGGTATCGAGTTCAATTTTGATGCTACTTGCAGTGATGGAAAACTTTTAATTTCTTGTAGACCGTGGCAGAAGCACTACGAGAAGCAAACATAGCTGCATATGCTGGGAAGCCAATTAACTTTTGAAAAATTGCTTAAGGAATTAGATCTCAATGTTTTGAATGTTTATACAGTAAATAAGTGTTTTTGTTTATATCCTTGCAAGATTTAAAATTATTGTGAAAGATGCGCCCGCTTAAATGATGATTATTTAAAGCATTACAGAATACTTTCTCTCGTTTGTCATTTTGTTGGTAAAAAAAGATGCCGTGTGCTAGGTAATCATTATTCAATGTTCTTCTTTCTCTCTCAAACTTTATTATTTAATTAAATTCAAGTTGCAGAAAGAAATTTACAAAGTACCACCACATGGAGAGTGGAATAATGTAGATGCATAAATGGATAATTTGTCTGAGGCTATAATACATTGTTGGCAAGTAATGAGTGATGTTATTTTGGCTGCTTGATTTAGTTGAATAGAAATATTTAGCAGTTTGAAGCATAGTTGTCAAAAAAAAAATTTGAGGGCCATCTCTATCTGGTGATAGTGACCCTCAAGATAATTACCTAACGCTGGAATGAATAATGATAATATTGTTAATTTTCATTTTGGTCCTATGCTTTTGATGCTGCAGTATGCTTTATCTTTCGGTCTGTCTGTGATTGAGTTTTGCATCCGAGTCTGAGGGAAGGGGTGCCATTTTAATTTTTGAAATTTTCATAAACCAACTTATCTAGACATTCACAATGATACTAGCGATTTGTAGATTTCTACTAAACTTTTTGCAAGGTAGAAAGGTAAAAACGTGGAACGATTGGCAATGCTGGGGTACCAATCTTATCTTTAGGACCTGAAGGCCAGAGAAACCACATCCCCTTGAAATGTTCTTCCATATTGGTTTCCATAACCCCTGTTAAGTGGAGAGATTAGAGAAAGAAAGCCACCTTTGAAGATATTTTATGTGTAAACAGTTGAAGAGAAATCTAAATTCATACCTGACTATGCTAAAAAGTGAGTGGTGTAGCTAATGAAGAAGTACAATGGCTAGCTATTAGATGAGTATGAGAAAGTGGCTGTGTATATTTTGAAAATCTGAAAACAGGTAAAGAGGAAAGTGGGATACCCTTTTCGTATCAGCGATGTGTCTTAAAGAATGTTTGCTGATGATTTCAATTTGAGTGGTATCCAATTTTTCCTCAGCGTATGCTCCAAGACCCCTCTTTATTCTTCTTTAATTAAACAACAACGAATTACTAGATGTTCATTTTAAAGAACTAAAAGTGAAATGAATGCCGTAATTGCAAGCACGCTGTTCTTTATAAGTTAGTTATCAATGCGCGGGGTCTCAGTGAAACTATCCTAAGATTATCTGGAGATAGAGAGATGTGGTGGTCAATGACAATCAATTTCCTGCAGACAGAGCTACAATCCTACTCATTTTTATAGGCAGTTTGAGACATCATGCTTCAGCACTTCTAGTAAGCATAAACATTGACACCCTGAACTTTTACCTCAATCGCCACCCCCTGGTAACTTTGTGTTTCCATTTTTAATTCCATTTTTTACACAATATCTGCAAAAATTTGCAAATCTTAAAGGCATTGAGTCATGATAAAATGGATTGGGTATACCCTAAGTGCCAAAATCCGCTGAGTCATGATTTTCATGACTGCGATGCTATTGGTTGACCTGGAACTGGTCACATGAACTCACCTCGTACTGATTGACAAAGCAATTTTCATCAATAGCAAGTTGTCAACAACGGATGCAAGTATCACATGAAACAGCAGCGATCACGCCGAAACCAAATGACCCCCTATAGAGAAGGCCTATTTACCACGACTCAATGCCTTTAAGAGAAATAACCTAAATTGATATAATGCAATCATTGGAAGAGATATACAATTTTGGCTAATCTGTTAAAAAAATAATATACTTCAAGTACATTTTTGTGGATTATAAAGTTTTGATTCAACCCTTTAATTTGATATTGGCAGATAAAGTTGTGGGAGGCTGAGAAAATGATTCCCTACACCTGTCTTGAGGCAACTACATGTTGCCCAGTTTTTATATTGCATAAGTATTTTATTCACACTAGTCATTTTCTTCCTATCCAACAACTTGCAAAATTGCAATAGATTTCAAAGGTTTTTGAATTCTAAATAAAGATAAGGTGTGTAGATAAAAAAGTTATATGAATAAAAAGCTAACAGTTTCACATTTTTTTTGTATAAGTACGATTCGATGATGTTAATGCATCAGGTCACCATTTCAATTTAATCCTGCAAATTTTTGCCACTTTGCTAGTAGCTAGTTCCTCTCAGGGTGCTTTGATTAAGATTTTCTTAAAACTAGATGTCCAAAAACTTTTATTGGTTGAAATGTATTATAAAAGACCGTATAATAGTCACAAAGACATGAATGAGGTTTTTTATCTGCAATAAAATACAAAATATTGTGTATGCAACGTAATGTTTAGATACACAGGTAATAGATACCAACATCAAATGACAAAAATTTTGGTTCAGATTTTTCTTCCAATTAACAAAGCAACAAAATTTCACAGATACTAATATTCAAGTCCTTTCTTTGTCATTTATAGAAGCTTAGCACGGCAGGCCATCACTACTGCTTGGATCTCGCTTGCGTGTGCAACACTGCGTAATTGATTGATTGTGTGCATCACTATTGGATATTGAAAACTGTTTCTTCCCTGATGTTTAGGAATAATTTTACCAAAAACAATAATATGCTATCTTGTACTGTTTAGAACAGCGCTACATAGAAGTATCACCATAATAGCATCATTTCATAAAAAATTTTCCCAACAAAATTATCTGTCTCCACAGCTTCAATTCCCATTTTCTTCTTCACCGGTTAACTACAATGTCTGTGGAATGTTTGACGCGGTTAAATCATAGAGTTTTGATTACATTAATTCACCCTTCTGTACTTTTTACAGCTCCGGTGTCCTCAAGACTTAAAGTATCTTTAATTATCTTGAGAATAGTTTCAATTTCTTCCTCAGATTTTAGTCTTTCGTCTAATTCTTCAACAATAAGCTGCAGTTCAACTACAGATGTAGGCCTAAGATTCAACAATTGAAGTTTCTCCGCTTTTGTCAGATTGAATGGTGCAAGGGCTTCCATGAGATTCTTAATTGTTTCTGGCTTTTGCTGTTTGCAGGGTGTGCTTTCTAAGTACCTAGTTGTCTCGTATGATATTGTCGCTACATTGGTGGGTATATGCTTTCCTTTTTTTCCTTCTTGCAGCAACGCAAGCACTTCGTAATTGCTGAGCATTGCACTGTTTTCGTTTGTTACCTCCATTTTCTGTTGTCTTCTGTGTGAGACCGGCTGGGGACAAGAAATCAAACCGAGGCTACTTTTTCGCGCTCGTCTTGACGTCGACGCCATGGCACCGCAGGAGACATACATTCAAGTAAATATCAGCTGATTAACATTCTTCGTACGTCTTTCCAGGTAATCCATCGATAAGTGTAAATCCAAAATCTGATAATATGATATTTCCTAACAAAATAAGGATGATTTGTCCATCAATTTGTTTTTACAGGAAATTTTTAACAATAATAACAGCAGACCTACCAAATCACATGCATTTCAGTGCATCAATGCAGAATTCTAACGCTTTTTGCAATAAATTCTTGGTTTATTTAAATTTTTACAGGCCCGTCGGAACCGGGGGGCTGGAGGTGGAGCCCCCAATATTTGTTAAACTGTAGTATGTTTCCTTTATAACAGTGTAGGTAGTGAATGAGAAGGAAAACAATGGGCAGCCCCCCCCCCCAAATATGAATTTCGTTCCGACGGCACTGTCGAAAATCCCTCTTTCAGGGCCTCCGACGAAGGGAGGCCGGGGGGCCTCTTCACTTTTTTGCAAAACAATAGAGTCTTTTTTCAAAATCTTTTGTTATGATCGTTAAATTTTGTCTTGCCCTCCCTTGTCCACCCCAGTTTTCCCAGAAGTTGATTTTCTAATGTCTTGAAATCTGTTGAAAAACCTTTGGGGGTTGGGGGGGGGGTGGGCTGATCAGATCGATTTCGATTTTCACACTGGTAAAAAGCCACCGTTATAAAAAATGTTGCTAGTTAAAGTGGCTTGTCCAATAGATCAAAAATACGAAAAAAAGGATTTTCCAAGAGTCTGAAAAGCGTGGCCAAGAAAATTAGTCTTTGTCTACCCCAGTTTTTTTTGAGCTGGTGATGCCACTGCTAAGTACAATTTTATAAGAACATGATCCTCAGTGTTGGTCAAAAGTTAAGAAAAAATTAGATTGTGATTTTCAACAATGTTGCAATACTTTTCAACAATTTCTTATAGAGAATGAGGAGTTCTTAGCTATCTAGGGGTGCTTTTTAGTCATGTGCTTGTGTTTCTGATTGGCCTATTTTGATCCACAACTGGGTATATATACTTCCTAGTGTAGAGTTTTCGGTCTATGTTCTGACGTTTTAAACTCTGAAGAGTGTCAGACGAAAAGCTTTAGTTTACTAAATGTTTGCTTTTTTCAAAGGTGCAAATTTTCTTGTGGATGCAAATAAAGGATGTTTTATTGGCAAATGAGGCCTGAACACCCCCTAGAGCATACTAGCTAATAATTGCACTAAGAAAAAATTCAGAACAGCTAGCCTTAAATTTTTGCATGTTAGCAATGGATCACTTTTTAAAAAAAAAGTGTCAAAGGGAAAAAGACCAGTCAAAGGGTATCAAAAGTGTGTCAAAGGGTAAAGGCTAGAAATCGCTTCAAAGGTAAATAAATTCTTATGGGATTTTTCAATAACATCACTTATTAATTTCTAGTTACAACGAATAAGTTGCTATTTCTCACCTTTTGTTAAACCTACAATCTTTTTTTCTGAAAATTATATTTTTAATTTATACTGTCTTTGCATTTTAAGGGTCTTTTTATTTCAACAGCTACCAAATGTTAAAAAAATTCTAATTGCTGGAATGTTAAAAAAGTGCTGGCAACATGTCTAGCCTTTTTTAGCAGAATATGTTAATGTGCTTTTTTCTGTATCATTAAAGCCTGATTTAGTGAAATTTAATCGTATTTTATATGTGATATGGTCACCTTTTTTGTTCCTCTTGGGCATTGTTTTTGATCCAGACAGCACAATTGTGGAGTTTGTGCACAATGTAGCAGTGCTCAAATAAGCATGATATCATGTTTTTTATAAGGCCAACAATTTTGGTAAAGTTTCTTCCCCACATTTTTGAAGACAATCCGAAATTGGAATGTGGAGAGCCATGTTACATATTAGAAGTTTTTACTCTACCCACCAAATCCGAGTCTTGGTATTTCTGGGCTTTTATTGGTCTGTTTATTTTCTATTTTATTGATCCATGGCTGAATATTTCCTTTTCAACCTCCCCAACAACGGTTGGGGTTTCATCTTAGTTATGGCCTTCTTTGCCATTGGCACACATCCAAGAAACGTATGTTAAAAATAAACATCTCCTTAATTTTTTTTGATTAAAATGGTAAATTATTCTGATGACCATTTTACCCTTATTTGCTATTGTTTGTAAAGTAACCTAGAATATTAAACACAAACAATTTTGCCCCATTTATTTTCAGTGAAAAACCTAATTTTACACAAATTTGCATACCTTTTTCTGAATTTTGTTGTAACAAAACTTTTTCATGGATTTTAACACAGCAAGGAGCATACTTTGAATCTACAAAAAAGTAGAGCCATGCTACTTTCTAAAAATTTATTTCCATAGATACTTTTTTCACAAGAGCTTTGGGCTCAAGCCCCCTTTCGGTTTATTTTTGTGGGGATTTTAATGCAAGAAAGCATTCGAAAAGGATTCAAAATGATGGTAGTATGTGTTCAAAGTTTAAATGAAGGCAAATAGAATAGGATGCTTTTAGCACTGAAGAGCCTCTACTCTTTATTAATAAGGTATGAATTATTGTAATCTAAAGATGGCTAAATTAAACTCAGTTCAAGTCTGTTCAAGTGCTCACAAATATGTTGTTGATGAGGATGAGGCAGGGGTGCCTTAATTAAAAGTTAGGAAGGGGGCTGTGCTGAAGGGAACTTCTAGAAGCAACCCCCCCCCGGACCAAATCCACGTGCACACCTTATTTACTTGCATTCGTGTTGTATTTATAAAATCATTCAAACATTCACTGAAGCCCCAAAAAATCTCTCTTTTATTCAATTAAGGGGTGATAATAGATGAGATATTTACATTGACAACGTTATATTTTATGGACACATTGCTTGCTTGTTGCCAATAGGAAAATTCGTTACAATGCGAGCACTCGTCACAGTCCAATTAATTACACGTCCAAATTCGCTCGTCCAATTACTTACATTATTTACACGTCCAAATTTTGGAACCTATTGAAGTTAGGCAAGTCCCATCAAAGCATATTTTATTAAAAATAACAAACGCTGGCTAACATTCCTATTTTTTCATTATCGTAGAATTACTAAAGCTCGGCCTCATCAAAAGCTATCTAAAGAAATGGCTGTAATCAACGACAATCATCATCTTTGAGAAAGTCTTTGCTTCAACCCATGTTTTTTAATCTATAGGTGAGGCTTGTTTGTTTCACTGCTGTCGATATATTTCTTTGATCTAAATTTAAGGCTTGGTCTGAGTAAAATTCCTCCTTCCTATTGCATAAATCTTTCTCCAATCTCCAAATAGTTGGAAAACTTCATCAATATCAATCAGAGACGTAAAATCGTTTTGAAAATCCAGATGTCGTGATAATACCCCTTTTTATCATCGTTTGAAAGGTTTTGGAGCCTTTCAAATCGCCCGATTTAGAAACTTACCCTCAATCAATGAAGTCACATACAAGAGAAGTCAACCCTCAAACGGTAAAGTCGGATAATGGTTGCCTACACAATAGGGTTTAGAGTTCTGCATCAGCTGTTAATATTATTTATTTCCGCAGATGGTTGTTCGAGCACATGATGAATGAATTGTCTGGTTGAAGTCAAATATCTCCTACGGCTGAGAAAGTTCAATAGGCCTAGACGCGGTAAGTAAAGATTCGATGTTCTTTGCTTCTGCATTCAGCCCACTGTGTTTTGGTCATAATCATTCTAATTTGCTGGTTGATCTAGACATGCTGTTTATTGGAAGTATAAAGAAATATCACCTGTTACTGCAGAATTACCTTAACACTAGCGCTATATAAATGCATAAAATTTCGGGTGTGGGCTCCTAAACAGTTCGTATTCAAAGATCTAACTTTCTCAAAACATTTCTGTACAGCCAGCATCTGTAAGAATGTAAGGGTAATTCCGTTGAAGGGCTCAGCAATTTATAGTTTGTTTGGTTTTCTAATCGTGGAATTCTGTGCCTTCAGGGACTGCATTTCTGAAGAAGAAAGGCTAGGAATAGGATGCAAATTTGTAAACTTCCTCAAAAGGAATTTTAGAAGACCACGCCTCTTACGCTTTCAAAAATCTCATTTTGATTGGTGCAATTCATTTATCGTTTTTACGAGTAGTAAGAGCCGAGAGATGAAGAGATGGTCACTGAAGCCCTTGATGAAGGGATTTAGTTGGAAGGATGACAGCTGCAGTAGATGAATGGTAGGGTTATAGTCAAAATGTCCTGCCTACAAGTCGATTATTATGATTAAAAGCAACAGAGCCCGTATACGTTCTTAAAAGAAAGCCAGACTCCTGTCGATAAGATCAACTTAAATCATTCATAAAAGATACAATGCCATATATTGTTTCAAAAGGCTCGAAGATTTTTCACTAGAATTGCCTGCAGAAAAATTACAGTTAGCAGGCAGTAATAGAAAACTCCTACTTTACTGTCTCTTACTGATTTTAAAGAAACTATGTCCTGACGCTTTTCGCTGGCCATTTAATTTTTCCATTGGTTGGACTACACAATAGGCCTATACAATCGCACTGAATTCCAGCCCACTCATCAGTGATTCCAGCCTGAATTCCGTCAGAGGCCGTGGTGATTGATAGCGAAGGAGATACGTTGAGTGCAAAGATTTCAAGGTGGCTTACTACTGAGAGGAAAGTTAACCCAAGTTAAAAGCTCTTGCGCAACCCGCGCGTTTTGCTACTATAATTCAAAAGACCGGTCCAACATAGTAGTGCATTAAAATACAAAATAGTCAAGACAACTGCCGCTTAGCCTGTTGGTTGCGCCAGAGCCTTTTAATTTTGTACTTTGTCTGTCACACCAATGAATCTTGCGCATACTCGATGTTAAATAACTCAAGGAATTTAAAACAGAAATAACGTAGAAACAGAAACAGACTCGAATATACTTTTCTCAAACCAAACCCATATTCGAATGGAGTCAACTGGTACATCTAAGCCTTTCTCAAACGCTACCTGCATGTAGGAACTAAACCAGGAGGAAAAATATATATGTCTGTGTGTTTTACTAG